TGTCTCTGTCTCTGTCTCTGTCTCTGTCTCTGTCTCTGTCTCTGTCTGTCTGCCTGTCTGTCTGTCTGTCTGTCTGTCTCTCTCTCTCTCTCGGCATATTAATGGGAAAATTATGGAATGCCTTCTTCACTTGGACTCCTTACGTTGGCCAGAAGATTCTCAAGTTCGAGATGTGCCGTGGGACATGTGTTCTGAAAAGTTGAAAGTCGTCGCCACCAGTCATACAAAGAAAAACAAACAACTTTGGAGTTCTGGGAACTTGCAGACATTTTGACCTCTGGACATATTCTATTTAAAAACTTCCCACGGAGCAGGTGGCATTGGGCACTCTTCTTCTCCGAGCAACACCCCGCTCTCTCTGTACATACACTTGCAGGATCTTGCAGGTAGATAACCTCACCAAGACTCTCCAACAAGTTGTTGAGCGTCGGCAGGACATTCCGCTCGGCCTCCGAGAAGGACAAATACTGATCGGTAGATTACACATGACAAAAACACCAGGAGGTCCGCGGCCAAGAGGTCCTCGTGTCTGACCCGGTCACGGTTCGGATCAAGTCCTGCAGACTGAGGACTCTTGGTCCAGGTTGTCAGACTCCGGCCGAAGTTGTCGAGAGCAATGCAAGCTCTGCTGGATGGATCAATCTATCTGAACACTGTAGGTTCTGCAGGCCCTACCATCAGGGAGTGGGATTTATATATGCAAAACAGGAATGGTATCAATCCAAGGCCTTGAACAAATTTAATCGAATCGGTTTGCTTCTGTTCTTCTCTTGTACCTGCAAACACATGGGCAGTTGGGGCCAATGGATTGTGAAACCTCCTCCTCCTCCTTCTGACCCAGGTCCGGCTAATTTGGCTAAAACAACCAATATTCTCCGTCAGCTCGAATAACGCTGAATATGTGTTTCTTGCCTTTTCTCAAATAGCTGGAAGGTATATGGGTTTCTTACTATTTCTTACTTCTCTAAGCCCTCAACTTTTTGCCTGGAGCCTTGGAACACCTAGGAACACCTTGGAACCTAAAAACCTGAAATTAAAAGACCTTTGAACCTGAAACTGCATCTCTTGGAACCCAAACACCAGCAGGTGACCCTGGGTCACCAACACCGGTGATTTTGGTTTTGCCATGCTGGAGCCGTCCTGATCCCATAATCACCGCCCCATTTGTTTAAAGATTCGGGATCTGTTTGGTTGCAAGAGACTGAGTGACACCGAGATCTGTTGGTTCCAGGAGTTTTCTGTCCCCCAAATGCTCGAGGAGATTTGGGGTATGCGGAAGTGAAATCTCCAGAAACAAACCACTACCAGCACATCACATCCTAAGACGCCAAGCCAGGACTAGTCTCCAGATAGGTCATACTAAACAGATCTAAACAGTCAGTATGTTTGCGTTCCTCGCCCATCCAAGCCCTTCACATCAACACCTGGGCACTGCATTTTCGCCGTTTGATGCGATGAAAAAAACAAACGACCGCCTTCTCCAAGCCGTCCAGGACCTGGGCCGGGCCGGTTTTTTAAGCGGGTGACCCAAGCGGGAGAGGACTTCCTTTGCTGAGAGGACTTCCATGGATCCCGCCAGGAACAGGTCAATGCCGCCCGGGAAAGCCACTGCCATTCCATTCCACTGCCACTGACATTAGAGTCTAATTCATTAGACTCTTGTGGTTTTGTGGCTGAGTTGCACAGGTTCATGTGATGCCGGAGAAAACCCCACCACTGCCACGGTGGCTCAGCATCCTCTAATTGGAACTACTACGAACGACAAACTACTGCAAATACCGGGGTTCAGAGTCCAGAGTGAATACATGTCGCTCAAATTCGGATTGTGCTTGGAATTGCTTCTCTTTGCCGCAGTTTTGCATCCCAAAAGGCAGAACCTGCGGATTGCATAACACTCGCAGATTCGGCCTCGATTCTGGTATGCCAGAGCTGGCTTGCAAACACATCCAAATCTATATAAATATGTAATACTAAATGTACTATATAGACTTCCTTAGATCTTCTAGGGAATAAAGAGTTCTCTTCAAACTGTATATGCATTGTGAACATGGTGAGACGTGGAATTCAGACTATTTGGGAGGCATGAAACCTTCCCGGCTGCCCAAAGATAGAGCATTACCAAAACGACCTGCACCTGCATGCGCCTGCATTGAATACCATTGGATTGATCTCCGAGTCGGACTACAACAAAAGGCGCGTTAAAACGGGGAAAATCGCGTGGAACCCTTGGTTCACCTGGACCTGGAGGGGACTTCAGGTCCAAAAAATAGGGGACACCGCCGACTGCACCTGGGTGTCCTGGCGAGGACGCGGCCACGCAGTGCACACCGCACTGGAGCACTGTCCACGTAGACGGTGCGACTGCCAGCACTCCTGCGATGTTGGTGGTAGAACACATGCGGCTGGTGCTTTAGCATGATCTGTTCCATGGTGCACTGAACGCCTTGCACTACTCCATGATGCCCGTGTGCAACAATCCTGACCGCTTCATGCTGAAAACCTGTCCATCTCTTCGTCCTGCTCAGCTCCCTGCGCTGCTTCAAATCCGCCTCGGTGGTGTCCCGGGTCACTGTGAGGACCTCTGCCTCGCGGTTCTGCAGCTCACCTGGTCGAGAACCCCAAACCACGGGCTGTGCTCTGCGCAAAGTGATGGACTGGACCCTGGCCCAAGATTTTTTGCGTTGATTTTCACAGTTGATATTGCCTGACATTGTAGGGTCCTTCTATACTTGGTCCAAAGCACCTTTAAAAGAAAGGTCTCTGTTGGATATGTGATGCTTTTGCTTATGCTTATCATTACATGGTATGGCCCACATGCCACATAGGGCAAAACATCACATGACGTGACGTCAAACTTTTGTCTTCCCCACTCTCTACACCACCCAAAAACATCTAATACGTAATCCTTTCCACGTAAGGCCATTCCATTTGAGGACCGCTTCAAAACAGAAGAAACAACTGGGGCAAACATATCCTTCACGACTGCTACCTTGAAGGGCATACTCTTCTCTGGTTTGACCGCTTTATGACTAAGCAATACAACGTCTCTTCTAATATCTTGGTCAGAACTGGCTGAAATCTGCGAGCAAACATTTTTGAGTTTTTTTGTTAACACTACAAGTACAAGTCGAGCTTCCTGCTGGGGGTGGTGTTGACAAAACTCCAAATATCTCCAAATTGGATGTCGAGAATATAGTATGTCTTACTTCGCAAGTGAGGATGACCAGGCGGTAAGTTGGCTGAGAAGTTAAACGATCATTGACGGACCCAAATCCAGGTGATTTGCACCCTTCAACCCCGCCCAACTCAGTCATCTATGGTCTCCTATGCGGCCGGCCACTTTCTTTGCCGAAAAATAAGCACAGCCTAGGCGCAAAACCTCAGCGCCAGTTGCCGTCGAAGGCTCCCGGGCGGGCCCAAAAGGAGCATGTCTTGACCTGGGATGGTCGATTAGCTGCTAGTAGCGTCCTTGCTACTAGTAACAAGGGCATCGCTACTAGTAACAAGTGCATTACTACTAGTAACAAGAAGCTACTAGTAGCGTCCCTGCTTTGCTACCAGTAGCGATGCCCTTGTTACAAGTAGTAGTGATGACCTAGCTATTAGTAGCGTCCTTGCCACTTGTATGGATCCACAGAGATTCTGACAGCGTGAGGAGGGATCGAATTGCGGGGATCGAACCGGACTGTCTGGAGAACCGGAGCAAGTCTCGATTGCCCCGCAGTGAGGGTTTTGCAGAAAAGCTGGCAGGAGATGTTTTTCTGGTTGGTCTGGTGAGGCCGCGGTACGCCGCCTTTCTAGAGCATGATGGAAACGATGTTTTTTCAAGTTTTGTTCTTTTTTGCTCTGACTTAACTGAGTAGGGGCTAACTTCTACTACCTACTGGACGCAGGATAGCTCATGATTCTTCAAGGAAGCTCCCCCCACCTGAGGTCGGCGGGGAGCTTCCTTGAAGAAGCGCTCGCGCTGTTCATTTGGTTCCTAGATTCATTTCAGGCTTGACACTCTTGGGTTCTTACTGGGTGGGGTACTCAAGGGGCTCTTCCGCTCCCGTATCTCAGCATATCTACATAGTAAAACTAGATGAGAATCACATCGCATTGACGTTGGATGACTCCGCAAACGCCTTTCGCAAACTAAGGACATGCAGCCTTTTGAATCTCCTTGTTAAGACTTTAAGGGTAAACAAGTACAAACTCAAGTAACAGAAGAAGCAAGAAAAAGACACCAAAGCAGAGATTTAGAGCAACCCAAGCAGCCCCCAAAGCCGAACTTCAGGCTCCAAAAAGACCAACATCTCTCTCGAAAGAGACCAATCCATCCCCAAAGCCCATCCACGATCCCAATTGATTGGGGCAAGGACCCAGCTCCATCTTTTGCGACATCCATCGTAGATGTCCGGCAAACTCTGCATCCTCGCTACCTGGGTCCCATCCGGCCGCACATGTGCGGCCCGTCGCGATCTCGGTGGATCTGGATCTCTCTGGTCCCCGTGCCACCCACCTACACAAGTGATGGACAAGATGATGCACCAAAGCATGTCACCGACCCAAACAACTCCAAGATTTTGGCATCGGCGGACCACAGAATGCTTGTTAAGCCGGTTGCACCGTTGTTTGGCCCCCTCTCCCGCCTGGCGGCACATCGAAGTACCGGGGCACCGCGGAAGAGGCGGAGGCACCTGACGGTGGAAGAGGGGAGATAGCAAGATGCACATAGCGCAGGCGCAGGTCAACAACTCGTTTTTGAACGCTTTTGGGATCTGTGAATCTAGCCGTTGGATTCATGGTTGCATTGCCCCGATCGCTTTGCTGATCACGACCACGGAATACCGCAGGTGACGCCACTATTGCTCATGTTGAACAGCTTTGAACAGCTTTTGCCATGAAGCACCCTTACTGGGGTTCTTGCTTTGCATTTGCATTTGGTTGGACGACGGCATGTCCTGAAGCGGGTGCAGTCTATAGATGGCCTGCACAGCACATCTTTCCTGAAGACATTGCAATCAGCTCCTTTCCTCACCACGGCACATGTGACAGCAAACGTGACCCATGTGAGCAAAGGGTTTCGGTACTCAGTATGCGAGCATAGTGCACTTGAGAAGCTAAAATCTCCTGGACACTTGTATAGGTGCTTCTGGAACCTGAACGGTGGGATTCATCCAATGTTGTGATTTTCTTTCGAACGGTGGGACTGATGGGCCGAAGCCGTCCTGGTCGGTGGGCATGCCGCTTCGCTTGTTTCATCTTTTGTTTCTTGCTATGTGGGTAGTTTGACTGGACACTTCTGCAACTCTATTGGTTGCAGCAAACAAAGGAAACTTACATGAATCTGTTTATAGTTTACTCCGTGAATTGATCTTGTGAGCCACCTGCCATCAGTTGCTGCAAAAACACATCTTCCTTGGTGAGCATTCTCGGAGCCTCTGCCAGCCACCAGCTGGTGTGTTAGCCGCAGAGTACGCGCGTTCGGCGCCATGCGGATGACAAGACAGTCACAGTCCTACTCCTGGCTCAAGGTCGGTTGGCAAACTTGCAAAACTAGTACAGCAAACTAACTTGTAGAGCGCAGCCAAGGTTGTGGTGGATTGAATCCTGAAGAGTTTGGCTTTTTAGTACCTCTCAATGTTCCTTTGGACCCCAATCTTGGTACAGTCCTTGTCAGGTGGCTAATCTTGCGGAAGGATTGCACAAGTTTGCAACGCCCACCATCGTGAACCTCAACCAAAACCTACCAAGCAATGTCTTTCAAACAAACTTTCCCAGCCCAACAGGGAGTCTGGGCTGTCCCCTCAATTGGAGCATCTCTGGTCGCTGGTCTTCAGCAAATGCCGAAATCGGTGCCCATCCGGCTTGATCCGTTGCGACGGAAAGAGATCGGTGGGCCATAGTCTTTGCGAAGGTCGGCGAGTCAAACAAGAGCTGAGTGTCCAGCTAAATGCTAAATGAGCATACATGAGATTCATGTTTATATAGTGTATGTATATATATATATACACGCGTATAATCCAAATGATTCCAAATGTATCCAAATGGACATGTCCGCAAAACATGTTTGAGGGTCTGTACGTAAAACACAATGGTACCATTCTTGCAGTACGAGAGAGCCTTCCAATTGTCCCTCGGCCCTAGATTTATTCTCTTCGCTGCGTATTCTTCCTACGAATACAACCCATACATTCTTTCAATGCGGGAAGGCTCCATGGGGCCGCACGGTCCTGCGACAGGTTCAGGAGAATAACTACTCCGAAGTTAGACCAACGACATCTTATCAAACCCTTTCCCCCCTACAGTGACCCCCCCAAATCGACGATCCTCAAAAGCAAACTGATAGGGTATAGAGATATGACCACCCCAAAATGGGTTGGATCCCCAAAATGACCAAATGACTGCTTCCGTGGATGATCGGGGGTGTAGTCGCCGACGACAAATGTCGACGACTCGACGACAAATCCATAAAGAGATATTGAGAATTATTGAAACATGTTGGTGTTGAGACATGTTAGAATCACCCCTGACAATTTATTAGCTTTCTGCCGTTCTTTTCTGCTGTTCTGGCATGGATCTCCTAAACCGCCACCACAAGACACCACAAACAGACGCTGCCCTTTCTTGCGATCTTTTTGCCGAAGCCAATCTTCACAGCATGAGTGCTGCGGCCCGTTGCAAGGGCTCTCTCACTGAACCCAAGGGTCTGGAACGAACGTTCACCAATCGAACTGCCACAACTCGACCGTCTCTGCTACTGCTATCGATAGTCTAAAAACTGTTACAGCTAGCACCATGAACATCGACCAATGGAAGGAGCGCAGTAATAATCAGTTTTTTTCTCAGAGTGTACGCACCGTCAGTTGTCCTTGTTTGTTTCTGATGCTTATCAATATTTATATATAATGAACAAACACACTGTTCAAAAGTTGGATCTAAAACACACCAACCAAAGATCACCAAACCAAAAAGCAGCAAAGCTTCAGATCACCAGAACCAACCAAAACCACTCTAGTCTGTGTCTCTGTCCACCCGTCTGTGTCTGTCCTCCCGTCTGAGTCCCATGAGTCCCAGTCTGTTCGATTGCTTGGGCCGTTCCTGTCCTCAGACTCTTCAGAGTCTCGAATTAACCGATGCAGCGAGATGAAGCTGGTGCCACATCGTGGTTTTCAGTCCTGAGTTCGTTAGAAAGGACAGATTGGGAGGTACTTGGACAAAAGAACTAGCAGCAACTAGGACCTCAGAGCTCACAAGTGGATCAAGTGGGGAAGTTTCTCAAACGCTCCAAAGGAGCTGATTCTTTGTCAAAGGGAAGAAACATACCTCAGCAGCCAAGCTCTCCATTGAAAATGGCAACCCTGAAGATTAAATTCCTGATCTTGGTTGGAGACCGCCTATCATTTATCAAGAACTGCTAGAGCTACTTGTAAAGCTGAAACTAGACACTGTTCCCATGTCAAACTGTTCCCATGTACTCTGTGACCATGGCGAACCCGAACCACCGGGCGGCTTCTCCTGGCGGCCGACTCAATGAGTTCGACCTCGGCCGCAGTGGCGCCGTCGTGACGTGCGCCGTGCGTCACGCACGGCCGGTGGAGAGCGGTGGTGAAAGATCTCATCATGGCAGAATTGGGCAGTGGTTGCTGCTTGTAATGCGGGATCCTGAATGTGGGTCAACCTCCATGTAGTCCCATCATGGCCATTTCATCACAAGCAAAACACGTCCCATCCGTCCTACCAAGCTCATTTCGACGTGACAAACGCCAAACACGTGGACCTGTTCAAACGCCACACCCTCACTGGACATGGTTTCCACGGTTTCATCGCTCCATTGGCTGCCTTCCATCGCTGCGCCACATCTATGACCACGCCCTGTCTCTTAGACGTGGTCAGGCAATAGGCACATAGCGGCCCAAGCAACGTCCTCAAACATAAATCATCATACATCCAAGCATCAATCCCTCATAATTAGACTGATTGGTTAAAACTTCTTTCCGGTCCAAACACATCCAATTTCACTCTTGCCGCCCGTTGGATGCGTGATTTGTCTACTTCACGCCCCCAAATCCTAACTCGCGCTCGCGAAGACCGAGACTCTCAGTGCCGACTCGACTGGCGGTCGATGCCTGCCATCGGGCCCCGCACGTGCTTCCATCCCACTCCGCTCCAGGTCCTGCCGGGCTTCTCCACGGAGCCCCCCAAACCGACGTCGCGATCAAGCGGAGCGGATCAAGCGCAGGTCCGGCTTCGACAGGGAACCAGTGCATCGCTACTAGTAACAAGGACGCTAAGAAGGAAGCCATGTTACATCATGTTGCCCAGTTTTTCTTGTCTTCCTTTCTTCCTTTTTGAAGCCGAAGTGAGGCTGCACACTTTCTCTTTCAATATGCCCTGCACAGTGGGGTGAACACGTTCACACCCACACGACTATGATCGTTTGCAAAGGTGTTGTAGACATGGCAGTCGTACAGAACATATATATATATATAATATAATGGCTAAACTTGTATTACAGAATCAATGTGCCAGCGAAAGCTTGACGAAGACACAGGAGCCCTCCTTTTTACGAGGAACAAAGACCGAACATAGGGCACAATGTGATGCCTCGTTGCCGCTGTATGGATGTATCTTTTTGTACTCTTGATGTGTTTACTTGAAGGTCACTGATTCCTCGCCAAGAGTCCATAGAACAGTGGCGTGTTCATTACTTCCAACCAACAAAGTACAACATGTACAACACATTTAGAAGTCAGGTTGCACGAAATCTCATACAACTATACGCATCATTACTACTACAAAGACTTGTCTCATATAACATCGGGTCGATCGAGCTGATTGAACGGATCGATCGAGCTGCAAAACGAACAAACAAACCTTCCGATCAAGAAGGTGACGACGACTGCCGTGGGTTTTTCAATGCTATCATCAGAAAAGATTTGACCATATCATACATATCTTAATTTTGTCTCAACAAAGAGTGCACGATTGGAAAAAGGAAAACCACCACAATAATGCATCCGACACCGCTCCGCAGCATTTGACTTCTGATGGGATTTCATACCAAACTGGCGCACGCCCAAAGCAGATTTGCCCTGGCAACTTTCGGGTCATTTACATCCAAGAGTTTGCTATTCTTTCTTGGGGTGCTGGCGATATCCTAAAAGCCTGGAAGGTTTCCAGATTTGGAATGGCGTCTCAACAAGCAAAGGGAATCTTCATCATGCCTGCCTCCTCTTCAAATGGCATGTAGGGTATGAGCTGTCCGTTGCATCTAAATATTACTATCTGATCTATTCCTCCTGGTTCCTGTCCACTTGATACGAGAGGAGGCGAGCGGCCTTCTCGAAGAAGACGGCAGTGTTTCGTGACTCAGCTAGGGTGAAACAACTTCCTCAGCATCAGAAAGTCAGCTGAGGTGAACGACGACTTCCTCACTGTTACATTACTAACAGTTACTTCAAACAGCTATCTTTTTTCATCCATTCCTCAGCTCACCGAGGAGGATCTTAGCCCGCTAGAGCTACCTTGAAAACTGTGATCCAATGAAACTTCATATCGGATGGTCTGACATCTTGATAAAATGTTTATCCGCCGACATATATAGCCGAATCGACCAAACAAAGGTGGAAAAACGAGCCCAGTTTGTTTAGGATTCGGTTCCACTTAGGTGGGAGATTGGCACTTTGTACTTTCCATCCACGGTCTCCAAAAAAAAGAGTGGTAGTCTTTTGGTAGTATCAACCTGACCACTCCATTCCGGCAAGTTGTGCTTTCTAACTTGATCCCCAACGAAGTCTTACTCGTAAATCTATGCTTGATCTAACTACTGACCATGATTCGACGTCTTCAGCACAACTTAATGCTAGACTTCTAATCAATCTCACACGTTACACAGAGCCTTTTGATGATATCATTCCCTGAAAGCTTTGGATCAGAAGTGCCAAGCCTTTTGGCTCCTTTTGGTTTCTGCTTGAAGTCTCTTCCTCTCCCAGCCTCTCATACTTACGGTCGGGAGAACCACATTGGTATTTCATGCCTTTGGTTTCTTTGTTGCCTCATGCACCGACACCGCACGCGGCGACATCGAACCCTCCTGTGGAGTGAGACCTCTGAGCGTCAGCAAGATCTGCCAGCCGCGGCTGTCGAACGGCGAAGTTCGGGACCTGGAAGCTGTTTCAATATAGGAGCTACGGTTGATGTATAGAGAGAACATGAGGGCCACCATGAATCTCTTTTTAAACTGGATCAAAGAGCCCCTTCTGGGTGAATTTCGGCTGGTCTCTGTGGATTCTTAGCGGAGCCAAAGACAACGGATGGCGTCCGTCTGTTGGCACCCCATCTGGAAGATTCATCTGTTTCGATGCCTGACATCTCTATTTCCACCCACTGTTAGAAAATGGAGCCCTCAGAATCCTCAGAGACTTATATGAAATGGAGCCCTCAGAGTCAAACAGTGCCATCTAGACCCTTGTTCCCAGATGTCAAAGGGTTCCCAAATGTTCCTCAGATGATCTAGCGCCTTCGACACCGTCCCCAAACCCAAATGAACGACCGGGGGGTAATTTTTTGGCCCAGGAACGGCATGTTAGACCGAGGAATGTCGTCGTCCGGCTCCACCGGCTCCACTGGCTGCACCTCAGGAAGGTTGATGCGCTTGGGCGGATCAAACTCGAAGCACTTCTTCAGCATCGGCTGCGCGTTGGGCGCAAACCTGCGTAGGAGAAGATGTGCCGCTGTGGGGGTTATCATAAGTGTTTAGTCTTCAATCTGCAAGTCTGGCAAGTAGGATTCACAATGATATCAGAATGGGCACATGGCACCCCCGTAGTCGGTATGACTGGTCGACACGGTGGACGATAGAGGTGTTTAACGATGTCAGGTCCGCCACTGCACCACACATGCCGAAGAGCTTCAGCTGAGAATGTCGCACATCTAGTGAAACAGTAGAAGCGACGAAGCGACAACTCAAGCACAAAAGGATCAAAGCTGCCCAAGTGTCGCACATCTGTCTGAAAAATGAAACGAGGGAGGGATCACCAAGCTGTCGGGATTCATGTGATCCCTCATGTGCCTTTCATGTGCCTCCAGCGAGGTTTTGGGTGTCCCTTCATTTTTGAGATGCACTCACATGCACTGCACTCGCACAGTATGTTGTCTTTTTGAACGTTACATTGGCTTCGTTCAGCACTGTGGCTGGGTTTCATGTGCTTTTTCCTTCCCAGCACTACTTTTTAAGTCAGGGCGACTATGATAATTCCATGATAAATCATATCTGTTTGTCTAATATAAAGTGCCTTTCAATTTGGCGCCATCCACTGTAGCGCCCTGAAGAGTTCATGTCGTTTCTTGCACTTCTTGGAAAGGCTCCGAAAGAATCCAGGCGGAAGCAGTACGATGAAACATGCGCCCGTTTCAAAGCTGCCTTCGGCGGCGTCACGCCCAAACGCGCATGGTTCACAACATGACAAAAGAAGCACATGCCTTTGCTGGACAGAAAAAGCACAGGCCTTTACTGGAGAGATGCAACATAGACACCCAGCCCAATAATCGCGGCGATGCAGCAAGCCTAACCCCCAGGAGCTGAACCATTGCCATGTCCTGTTCGAAATCGGGTGGAGAATCGTGGGGAGCAGTGGTCCGTAAAACCTTCCCAAAAGCTCACCAAATCAACTTTTGCCTTCAAGTTCCATTCCATGCTTGGCATTTTTTTTGCAAGAGATGCCATCAGTTTTGGGTTCGGACATTGGCGTGCTCAACACCCAGGTTTCAGTGTCTGCTCGCTGCTCAGGACTGCTGTTCCTGCAGGGAAAGCTGGGCTTCGCTGGCAATTATCTTTGGACGTTGTCTTCAACTTCATCATGAACACACATATGAACGTCAACACAAGCTAGTGATAAACGCTAAACAAAGGCTTTCCAACAAGGTCTCGTGACAATCAATGCAACGCACCTTTAGCGAACACACAGTCTATATATCTGTATATATATATATGTATGTCCAGTATACATCGTGTCCTCATGTACAACAATGTTCAACGTATTCAGTATATATTTATATAGTCCCTGTCCTGACTCCTCCATGGGATTTATTATTCACCCGTCCAAGAAAAACAGTCTTGGGGCTCGAAAGCGCCAGTGACAACTGGATGCTTCTTGGTCTCACGACGTCTCACTCATGCCCATGAACCTTTAGAGAACACCCCCACGCCATCACACACCCCACGCGATCCGGTGTGTGGTCGTGTGGTCAGGCTCTGTTCGCCTGGTGAAGCAACAGATCTCTGGCCGGGTCGCCCCTGCTCACCGTTGGAGGTGTTGGTGCAAGGCCTGAGGTCGCGACCGGGTCCTTTTCGGTCCTGCGGACCGCTCCGCTTTTTGAAGGAGTGACCTTGAGGGAACGTGAACGTGAGCCTATGAGTTCGAGTGGTGCAAAGCTTTTCAGGGATCTGTTTAAAACCTTTTGGGAGATCTAGGATATTATGGGATGTCGGAAAGGAAAGGACGTGAGGAGTTTTGGATATATGTATATTATATATACATATATATTCTTGGGTCATCCGCTCCGGACTTCATGGCAGGAAGATGCTGGGCCATCACCAACGAGGCCCAGCTGCCTAGCCTGTGTCGCTGGGGAATCACAGTTGCTTTCTTTCCGCACAGATGTCATCATCTGAATCCCATTGAAACAAACTTGGTCAAACAAACATAAAAAAATAGCATGAATGGCTTGTCCCCAACTCCAGGAGCCCATGGAACAGTCCGAACCCGCCAGTTGAGAAAATACGAGTATTGGGGACTGTCCTTGTGCTTCAAATTTTCCGATGTCGTGGGACATCTTCGAAGGGCTTCCAGTCTGAACGCTCCCAAACCAAAAAAAGGTTCTCAAACAGTTCATTGCATCCCTTTCCAACTCCCTTTCCATTTCAACCCAGCTCTCCGAGTCTTTGACCGTGATTTCCATCGACCACGCCATTTCCATGGACCAAGATCGACCGAGAACTCCCCCCCCACCTCGAGAGTAAACGGGAGCGGGCGCGGTGGGCGAAAAGGACACCACGGTGGAAGCAGCTGGTGCAGCTCCAGTAGCCTCAGCAGACCATTTTCTGCGACCGGTCAAGATGACGCGGTTTGGTCACCTCTCAAACTCTTAAGTTTTCTTTATGAAAACATCTGGGTTATTCTGGGCCCAACAACTTAACAGATCAGCCTCCTTGAAGTCCGAAATACTGTTCCAACAGTCAGATCGCTTGCAGACCGCAGCGTGCGCACCCAACAATCTCTTGGTTCTCTTTGCTTCATGGGTCAGATGTGAAGTAGGGTGTGGATTTTTTCCAGGTCCGGCGGGCTGCTCGCTGGCTAGGTCTCCGGTCATGGCTTTGGGTGGCCTGGACGGATGGGCTCGGTGGTGGAGATAGTGGGCTTTGAGCCTGTTAATGAGGATCACGTGAGGAAACAACACTAGCCACTAGCCCTACAAATCTCCAACCATCGTCTACCCACCCACTCAAACTATGGTTTTCACGCGAAGGCATCTTGGATGCAGGCTGCATCACGACAAGGGCATGATTCTTGGATGAAAGCACCCTGACTCACAAAAACTCGCCATAACGGCCATTTTAGTTCCCCCCTGAAAACACCACGTCTTAGGAGCCGGGTGTAAGGGACACCCACCTGACAGTGTCTGACTGATCAGGACACATGCTGATTGCAAGTGTATAATTCACACCGCTTCGCGGTCGAAGCCGCCCGCACAGAGTAAAGGGAAAACAGGAAAACATACACAGATACAGACATAGACATCCATCCATGCATACAGACAGACATACATGCAGACACACATCCAGACATACATTGGAACAGTGTGCCATTAGCACCCCACCAGCTCGGCAGCAACCTGCGCTCGCGGAGCCGGGAACTAGCAACTTGTTATACCGGGCTCAAGCGTGTCTCGGTCTGTCAGTCTGTCTGTCTCGGTCAGGTAGGACACACGGAGGAACACACGCACGATGTCAATTGTCTGTCTGGGTCTGTCTGACTCGATCTGTCTGTCTCGGTCGGTCTGTGTAGGTCTGTCAGTCTGTGTCTCGGTCGGGCAGGACACACGGACGAACACACCCTTGATGTCAACAATGTGATCTCTCTCGGCCGGCATCGCCAATGTTTGGTCCTTTTTTGAATTTGTCAATTTCAAAAAAACATTGAAAAACACAGCGTTTCTACTCGAAAAAAGCTCCCCCCCAAGCCAAAGCTTAATCTAGCAAATTGCTTGCGATTCTTGCGATTGCCCAGAGCCGCCACAACGCCCTCGGCACCTTCAGTGCGGGCGGATTTTATGTAGCTTTTGAGTCTACTGCACTGTTCGCCCCATTCGAGCTCTTCAAGATTCTTCAAGCGTCCTGAAAACCTCCAAACATTTGGTGTTGCCATGTTTGCAAAGGTTTGGGCTGCTATAAAGGCTTTTCTGGAAACTGCCACATGATAAAAGGTCCCAGGACTTCGTGCCAAGGCACTGGAGCACCTTTTTTTTCCTAACAAGCCTCAACCAACCCCAAACCTCGAAGGCACGTCTTGTCCATCCTTTTTTTGAACACCGATTTCCCCAGTCATCTCAAGTCTAACGTCGTCAAGGAACGCGTTGGACTCGTTAGATTTAGATCCTGCTTGCACCCTCATCCATGGTCTCCAATGATTTTGAACGCCTCTCAAAGCCGACATCGTGAATGTTAACCCGCTGGGCTCTAGCTCGTGCTTTCCCAAAGGAACTTTTCAGGCGACCCCATGGTCATCTCTGCTTGTGAGCCCCTCCCAGTCTCCATCACCCGATCGCGCCATGACTGGGGCGTAGCCAGCATAGCCTTGCCGAGCGGGGAATCGCTGGAGCAAGTTCTAAACTCAACGAAGGCGTCCAACGTGACAACCATGCTGGAGGTTCGTTCTGGGGTGTTGGGTTTCTTGTTTTGCAAGCGTTGTGAGATGCGGAGGTCTTTCTGTAGCACCCCCTCCACTCTCCACCGATGACTCTGAGATCATTTTATATTCTTTGTTTTCAGCAGAACAATCAATAGAAAGCACTGGGACAACCTAGTGACCCGGTCTGCGAGCTTCGCGGAATACATGTATATATATATCATATATCCTTCAGTTTTTTGCTTTTCAGGCTTTGATGGTGACTCTGAATCTGTCAATTTTGTACCTTTTCATAGTCGTCAACTTGGGCTGACCCAATCAGAAGTATCCCCACCGCCCGTCATCTGACCGCTCCTGCCATGTAGCCGACGGCCGGCGCCGCGCCCCGCGGTGCCGGAGCTGCGGCTTTGGCCTGGACATCGTTACTCCGAACTAGACAGAAATAGTGCGTGTCAAGGTACATGGTAAACACTATTTTTCTAGACTCGATCATACATACTGGTATTATATGTGTTTGTCGTATAGATGTGTATGTCTATATATAACAATAATTGTATACACACTGATCATACTGATCCACTGATCCGGGCCCAGCAATCTATGTGACAGCTCATTGGCGAGAATCCAAAATCCAGCTACACCATTCAAAGCGATCATAGAACTTGAATATCAACTCGTCAAAAAGATTGAAAAGAGATGAACAAAGACTTTCTCCCTTTCCAAAGGCTTCGTGCTTGACCACCGCTCGGATGGGAGTACCAACCAAACAGGACACTCCAGGGCACTCGGGTTGGACCAACTATTAAACAGGAGACCACAGAACAAGCTTCATCTCAGAGCCATCTTTTGACCTCAAAAACGTGGAAGTCTTCGTGTTGGGACTACTAATCAGTCATAAAAAAAGAAACCTTCCCCACTCTCCACCCTCCGCGTCCGGAAAAGCACCTGCGGAAGGATCGACCTGAGGCGAACGGGTGCCCCGGTCGGCTCCGCTGGACGAGTCATAGAACTGCTTGAGACCGTCTAGACTCAACACAATGTGCTCGCACTATCTCGCACTGGCATCCTTCTGATGTGTGTTTTTGACTACACGGAATTTTGAGAAAGTTGCATTTTCGGATATTCTTCGCAAGGCATGATTCACTATACTATGGGCGTTTTTCAACACTTGGACTCGGCCCGTCCCGGTATGTGTACCATTGTGTACCATGAAACTCTCCAGATTCTTTTGCTCAAAGGTGAAAGCAACCTCTCATAGCGAGGATTTGACATGTTTAGAACCTCGCTATAGGGATTTGGATCACAAGTCGACCTGAAACCGGTCGTACCGCGCGTCTCAGGTCGCCCGTGACCAGGTCGGAAAATGTCGAGGGCACCCGTCTCATCGACGGCCAATCGTCTGAGTCTCTCTACCCAGTCTAGCCTCCTGAATGCCACACAAGGAGGGCGGCTCCGCTTGGCGCCGCCTCACCGTCGCTGGGACAAAGCCTTGGAGATGTAGCCATACCTTCCAGGCCGCTTCATTGCGATGTAGTGTGGCCTGAAGGTCGCAAAGGCGGCGAAGGGCAGGTCGTTTTGGTATTGACAAAAGACTTTCTCAAGTGACGAATCTCCCCATCTAAACTAGGAAAAAACTAGGAAAAAACATGAAGGCATGATGTAAAGATATGCTGCAAAGTATCATTGCATCATCCAAGCTATGATTGCTGCTCTTAAACCGACCACGCAAATCAACTCCCCCTTGCTGCAACAAGAACAAAAGACCCAGGCCTCCTCTGCTACAAGCCATGCACTTTGACCTGGCAACCGCAAGGTCAACCGCTTCAGCAGCTTTGGCCTCACCTCATCACGTGAGGCTTTCTCCGCAAAGCGTGCCACACTGGACCGGAGCTTCTCCCAATCGGTCGGTCTCACCCAGTTCCGCAAGCACGGCCTAGAGGACGTCAAGCCGCTCGCCCTATCGAGACGATGAGGTCGGAAGTTCAATTCGATTTGCCGGACATCCTGAAGCTCTGTGTCCACATCGACCAGCAAAAAAGCCTCTTGCAACTCAGGGAGATGAACTCTGTCCTGTGAACTCTGTCCTGTGCTTTTGGAGATGTTCGAAGACCGTTCATCGGCAGGTTCAGGGACCGTCACATGCCTCCCCAGAAGCTGAGCAGGAACTGCATCTTCTTCAGCTTCAGGTTGCGGACGGGATTCGGGATCCTCTTTGAAAGCTATGAGATGATAGGGTTCCTCTGCACCCAAGAGGCCCGGCACAGGCACGTGGTAAATATCCGCGGCCACTCTGATCCCCGCAGACCCACGGAAGGACACCCGCAAACACAAGGGTGGCGGAGAGTGCTTGGATTGAGGTTTTTTGAATGCTTCAGTGGAGGAGTCAATGAATTCACTGAAACGAGGATGCTCCTCCTGGGCAATGAGCTGCTGAAAGGATCTCCCCTTTAAAGTCACAGTCGTTAGAATCAAGTGCTTCAAGCATTCACTCTCCTGAGCGATGTTCATGTGGTTGTCCAACAAAACCTCGCCATCACAAACACCTCTCAACATCTTCTGAAAGCTGGAGAGCAAGGATTCGGCATCGGCGGTGTTGAAGAGGGCATAGATGCGATGCTTCAGGACGAAGTCGATTAACATGCAGCCAGAAATACACATTGCAAGAGTAAACAACTGAGCACAACAAAAAGGAAACCATTGCAGACCAGATGGTTCAAACAGAAAGAAATATACACAGATCTCTGCAGTTGTGTAGAGGGCTTGAAATGGAATGGAGATCCATGGGTCGAGGAAACAGAACACTAACGCGAAGCGTATGGCGGTCTGAAAGCTTTGCATTACAGCAAAGCGAAGTTGGCTGTCGCATGCGGTTGCGCTGATGGTGAGAAGGAACTGGATGCTGTGCATCCAAATGGCAATGCATTTCAGCAGCCGCGGAGATAATTCAACCACATCCATCTCGACCAGCACATGTGGCACATAGGAAAGTACGCCGCAGCTGGCCCAAGTGATGGTCTGAAGTGTCGGTGCCACGAGTGCGGCATGAATCAAGCCGAGACCTGCCAGTAGATTGATGTGAACTTGAAAGTGGTTCAGTACCTGAAGCTGGTCTGCCAAGAAAAAAGCTCGTGACGTTTCCCCAAAGAGTGGTCGTTAGTACAAGTAGAGCCGTGGAAGCAAACTTTGGGCCACCCACCCCCAACCAAACGTCGGGGGTATTCCTGCCCAAAAAATGGCAATCGTACAAGGCAATCGTTCAACTGCCTTTACAAACCAACCTGCCTTGTAACTCTTCAATCGAAGCTTGACCATCTCTTCCTCCACGCGAGCATCCTTGAGAAACTCCACCTTCAGAGTCTGGAACCACACAGGATGATTCCACACAGGAATAAGGTCTGTAACCCCTTGTTTGGACTACCAAAACACCAAGAACTGCGGAACTGTTTGTTTGTTTGTTTGTTTGTGTTTGTTTGTTTGCTTTTGCATTCCAAGGAAAGAGTCAAGTTCTTGAGGTATCTACTTACCAGTTCATATAAATGACTCAAACGACTATTTGTGAGAGAGAGCGATCTAATCTCACCACCGGCCTTGACCACCTACCACTTCTCTTAGCTGGTGGAAGTCAAACCTACAATAGTAACAATGCCATCAAAGAACTACTGGTAGGAACCCTCGCCTGTTTCCATGTGTATGTCGACATTATAGATATGTTTCGCAATGAGCTTGAGGTTGCTTCTTGAAAGAACTTGCGCATGCCGCATACCTTAAGATGCCTTAATATAAGCAAGAAAAGCCTTCGGGATGAGGGGTGGTTCGGGGTCTGTAGTGTGTGCACGGTCGCCGCGAGTGCTACCAAAGTGATGTTGCATCACCACTTGTCATGTAAAAACATTACTGGCAATAATTTTCAGTGTACATTATTGTACATGTTTGTTTGGCTGTTGTGTGTCATGTGTGGTCAATGTGTGGTGTTGGTGTACATATTATATATAAAATAGTGTTTGGACGCGTGGATGCTTCAAAAGATTTAAGAGGGGAGGTGGGGATGTGACACTTCTACATAGATGAATAAACATTTCTAGAGAAAAAGACACTTCGGAAATTCTACATCTCCACTGCCAACGCGTACATTTTTGGTAACGATTTTTGAATGGCCTTCCAAAGGCGCCGGACGATGTGTTTTTCGGAACGGTACACATACGCAGACCTACCTGTAAAGACACAAATCATATACAGCTACATGCCAAGGCAGCATGTACAATCACCGGTACACGGTACACGCAAAAACAACCAGCGAAGCACATATTGCACAACGTAAACATCTGTAGTTCAAACCTTGTATCTTGAGCCTTGGGCCTTTCCTCGTTCTGCAGAGCTTGACTTGTGTTTTGGTCAAACTCTCTGATCGAACATCCATCTCTCTTGCAAAGACTATTACCTTTTCACACCTTGTCCATCTAAGTCAACTGGAAGCGACCATCTAGGTACGGCGTGCTGGTGCCCCGTACTCCCCGTTGTTCATTGAACAAAAGAAAAACAACCAACACATGTGAAAACTCTGCAGTTGGGGGAATCGATCGGTGACCGGCCTAGACTCTCATTTCCATGGGGCCATGGTTTTCCGCGTTGTGCGATTTTCGGATGGACCTAAGGGGGGGCGCTGGGCCAGCATCACATGACCATGCTGATTGCTGCTTTCAAAAGGGAAATAGCGCCTGCTCCTGGACCAAGTTGATCCATGCACCCGGGTCCCAACCCTTCGTGGTGAGGCGAAGGTGCACAGGCGCCCACAGCAGCCCGAGGGTGGCCACAGCCCAGGAGGTGTCCATGGAATCCATACACTTCTGGGTGAATGTGGCAAGTAGATGTAAGTAGGTAGATCATGATCTACTGATATCAGATATCTACTGTATGTATCTTGGAATGATTGCCAACTGTCAGGATAGCCAGCGCAGTCTTTTCACAATGCAGTTTGACACCGTGTCCGTTTGGCTGTGCTTGGCCGTGTTTCTCTTTGGCTACAAAGCGAAGTCTCGACTGCCAAACTGCCAAAACCGACAAAGGGTGAAGCCCCAGTGGAACCCTTGCATCTTATCCCGTGTGGCCAAAACACGAGAGAAACAAGGAGAAACGAAACAACGAGGCACCTTCAGGGACATGACCATCTCAAGTACTGATGCAAATACATTGGTTTTAACTTGGCATTTGTTGGCATTGACACCTGCTGCATTATTTGATTGGCTTGGTTTGCATCAGATCTGCCAGAGGGAAACGTACCAGCAATTGATTAGTACTCGACCAGTGCTTTCCCATTGTGATTCGTTTCCTTTTCATATTCCTGTGACTCAGCCCGATCCCACCCTTTGGACACACACAGCACGTTAAAACATCGAACCTTCTGGCTCATGATGAACACACTTACTCACATTCCTAAATACTCATGTCACTTCCGGGCACCAAAACGTACCAACAAAACCTACCGACGAGCCGAGCCGAGCGACCTCACACCCGGGCGCAGACTCAGACCCGGGGCCCCAGCTGCATCTCGCGCAGAGCCAAGGAGTGCTGGCGACGGGGTCGAAGCCACTAGCACTAGCATTCACCGTTTGGGAGAAAATGTAGACTGAGTAAACTGCCCCTCTCAAACGCGAAAACACAAATTGATTACAGTTACAGTATATCTTGTACCTTCTGGTATCTTCTGGTTCCTTTTTGAGGCGACACTTGGCCATTTCGATGGAGACCGTTGTGCCGTTGTGCACTGAGGGACGGCAGTCTAAACCAAGTGAAAACCCAATACTCCAACCTGGCCAACAACCGTTGTGCAGACCAGTTAGGGGTCTCAGCTGGTCCATGGAGTCGATGGCGTGCATTTCAGCGGCCTCCATCCTCCTCCATTGATTGGTGACGACACTTTTCGGAACACATGGAGCCACATCAATATCATCAATCCATCGATTCTTGCAAGCGTTCTATGTTCTTTTTGTGAAGTCAACCCACATCACATAGTGCATGACTTCGACAAGCACTTGAGTAGCGTGTGCAATGGAAGTGTTTACATGTTATTACCCTCCCCCCCGATCCCACCCACTCCACCCCACACTTGAGAAATACACACACATGACGCAGCGCATGACTTCACAATGCAAAAGACACAACAAGACGAACACGGTAGCCCTGAGAAACCGCAGCGCTGGTGTCACACCGTGTTCCAACTACTCCCCTGGGTTTTCCTCTCTGCACAACTCGAAAGCCAGCCATCATGGGGTTGCCGCATCAGCTGACCCAAGCGATTCGATCGTGCACTGCCCGCTCAGCTGGACATCCCGGGTGACCAAAATTGAAGGGAATCGAATTTGATATAAGAATCACATGTTAGATGGCTGAAACTGCTGAAAACTCAAGAGCTTTTGGGGCAGCAGCTTTTGGTCCTTGTTACTTGTTCTTAGCAGCTACTGGGTTAGGTGGTGCCCCTCCTATATAATCAAACAAACAAAACACATCCCCGCTCTTGCAGGTCTCGTGTGTCTTTACACAAGCAACACAAGCTCGCTCAACGACTGGTCATTCGCTAAGCGAGGACATGGAGATCCCGGTGACGGGAGATCCCGGTCGCCCATCTGACCGACCGACTGAGATGATCGGTCGGTGGGCACCATCTGATGCAATTCGAAGCACTTGAACTCAACACGAGCACCCAAACCTACTTCCTATGGGCACCAGCCCCCTTGCCTATACTTACATCGCTTTCTCAAATTGGAGGACTGAAATGCTGGGAGGTAACTCCAGAACCACAAACGGCTGACATGTCGTCGTAGCGACCTCCCCTCAAGTGAAACATGCCGCATGCACTCATGTGAAACACCCAGTCCATGCTGCCTGGTACTTCAACTTGGAATTTCTAACCTGCATCTGAAGATCGTGGCTGGTGGACTTCCGCCTCAACGCCGCGCAAAGAAGCGATTGCACGTGAGGACGCGAGGAAAGCTTGATGTATAAGAATCAGCGAGGGAAGCAGAAACGGCCACAAAGAAATGATATGGGATCCATGGCAACGGATCCACTTCCGTGCCAAGCAATAGTCTGGTTAAATAAAGAACCTGGGAATTCCGCCGAAAGGAAAGGAGGCCCAGCCTCTGAAAGGCCTCCCTTCAGAGGGGCGCCCAAGAAACAAGGAAGGTGGAGGTATCAACAAAAGGATTCCTCATCCAAACAATTCGAACATATCAAAACTAGGGCCTGGATACCTACCCAGACGAAGTCTCCATCAATGGTTCAAAGACCCACGTAAGCCCAGAAAACCTCAGTTGGCCCCAGCAATGTCTCCGTGGACGATCCAAAGCGAGGTCGTAGGTGGCGCCAAACCCATCGCTGTCGCATTAAACACACCTAGGAACAATGGACACACCGTGTTTGTATCATTATTCAGTATACCACTTGCAAGTTCAGAAAGACATCATTGTCAAACACACACACAAACATTATATACATACATATATATATATTATATACATTATAATTCATACACTAACAAAAACACATACACATATGTATAATTATGATTATTTATGTATGTATCTTATAGTCATTCAATGTCACTCATATAGTAATGACTATGGGGTAGACTCGTTTCAGCTATCTACCTGCCAGACCGGACACCATCGACTCAAGACCTCGACTGCTGAACATCCCGGCTTGTCTTCCTGCACCACAGCATAGGCAATGATCACCAGGACACACACCTGGTCTCACCGAGCTACGAGGGACTCCGATTCCTCCGCCAGAACTCGGCGTGACCAGAAATCGGAGAAGACCGTGAGGGGACCGGTGTTCCAAGAAACTCAGGTCGAGACCTGAGTGACATGCAAGTGCGGCGGAAAGCAGAAATGTCAAGACCTTTCTCAATGACGGATGACATGCAAAGCCTTGGTACTTGGTTTCGCATCCCACCATATCCATCCATATCCTGCCAAAGTGTAGTTCTTCCTCATGGAAAGCATTCATTGGAATTGCTGATCACTCCCGACCGAAAAAAGCGTGTCTCCTCTAAATGACCTCCACAAGGGGGACTTAATATGCGGGGAAAAGACATGAATGTTGATGGCAACAGTAGAGGAGGACCGACCAAATTAATTACTGTAACTGTACCCCATTTCTCACAGTCGGGAATTTTGTCGCATGGTGCATCATGGCTTCCAAACAGCCCTCGATCTGGTCTGTCGCCTGCCCCAATTCCTTTGGTGGCGGGTCATGGCACCAGACCAACTCGTTGACCTACCTGACAGCGGCGTTCCTCCAGGTTGAACGACCCATCGATCACACCGCTTCGCCAGTTTCCCGGACTGTGACGCTCGTCGGACTGAGACGGCCACGGTCACGCAAAGGGCCAGGAAGGCCAGGGTTCCGGTCCACACCTCAGCGAACGGAGCGAGGACGCTACGTTTGGGGCTCCTGGCCATACTACTAGGAGCAAGAAGCTACGAACGGGGCTCCGGTCCACACCTCAGCCAGTTTCGTTTTCGATGACGTGAACCACGGCGGTCCCAAGGAGTTCCGGTGGACCCCGAATTTGAAAGGAGCCCGCCACCAGGGGTCGATGGCTCTTCCAACGGGGGTGAACGATTCAGTTTCTTCTATTCCCCCCCCCAAAAGCATCCGCTGGGCAAACCTGGCGGCTCTTTGCTGCAGCCCTGTGAGCTCACCTGCTGAACAGCATTTTGCACGCGCGAAAGGAGCGAAGAGGGACGTCCCAAGAGCAGCCAGTTCTCTTTTAGGGGGTATCTTGGCAAAACCAACCACAAAACAGCTGCGAGCCCTACCAGCATCGTCAGTAACTACGTGATTCCTCGAAGGCTGCGTGGCTAGCTCCTGAACAGCAGTAGGGTTCTTTCCTGGCCCGTTGCCTTTAACCAAAGAAGAGACATGCAGAAACCAACGACACCCCCAACCATTGATCTTCTTGGACCAAACGGGTCGACCCACCTGGGGCCCCTGGCCCACAAGGGTGTATAGAAGTTAAATACATGAAATCCATTGAAGTTCATATTTGAGACCTCATGAGCCATCGATACTCATTGATTCTTGTGGCAGTCATCTAAGAGTCTATGGGTTGATTGATGTTGATAGGTTTTGTCACCGCGCCGCCCATGACTCGCGTCACCGTCTCGCATGGAGTTGGCAGGTCTGGTCTTTCAGCCGCCTGTGGTGTGAGAGGTCTTGCACCTTGACTCGCATCCACACGTAGCGGGAGACTGGGAGGAGTTAGGAGTTAGTCTTCCAAATCGGGCAAGGCCAGTCCGTGATGTTCGTGTCTGTTTTTGGGAAAGCCAGCTGGAGTTGAACAAGTCAAGAAGAGTGCTTTGACCTGTTGCCTAAAACATACTAAACTATACCGATGCAATCAAACGGAAGTGTGTGCCTTTCCTGTGGGTTGCTTCAAAAACTATCTGAACTCATCTACTCAGCAGCATTCTAGCGAGTCCTTTTCGGCCACCGGCCACAGGATCAGCCCACTTGGAGGAGAATGGCCAGTGTCCTTTGACAAGTAACGACCCTTCCTTACAGAATCAAAGCGGAACAGCTTCGCGATGGAAAGTTCTTTTTGCTCTGGAAATCTGGACCCTAAAGTTAAGCACATTTAAGTTTCGTACATAAATAGTTCTTCCATATCTTGGCTGATATCTTCCAGATTTCTTCCTCAAAACAATAGACTACTGTCAGATACTGTCAGCCTCTTCAAGTGACCACTTGTTGCCTTTTGTTGCAACCCCAAAGTGATCCTCAAGCTGACCTCGCTATGAAGTTCAGTCACGTGAACAACCAGCTGAACCGATTGGCCGGTGATGCCCGAGCTCGGCACGGTGTCGCGGTGCCACCACACAGGGCATCGGGGGCTTCCGTCAACCTGGGTATCGCTGTGCCGTGGCCCAAATCTCTTCCAGAAACCGTGGATGACAACCAACCAATGGATGACCAGTCTTCCAATGGTTGGTTCCTTTGGCACCAACCGCAGCGAAAGGTCGCGGGAACCCTTGGCGCAAAGGGCACTTCTTTGGCCACATCTCCGCTCAACTTCAGGGGCCCAAACTGAACACAAAGACTTTGTAGCTTCTGGGTCAATCATGTTGTCTGTTTTTTTGCTTCACACAGCCGTATGGATTAGCCAGCAGCCTACAATTTTTAGAAATTTTAATGTTCGCGTGACCTTTTCTCACCAAAAAACGCACCTTTTTGATGATCCTCAAGATAACTTGACAAAATCTATTTTACGCCGTTTACGCTCCAAATATTTTCAGACTTCCGCTTGAGGGTCTGGGTTTGATCTTGGTTTCCCCAGGTCCACGAGTCCTGGCTGTTTCAGCATGGATTCTGGCCAAGGGGCTCCCCGAAGGCTGCTTCAAAGCGACTGCCCGGTTTCTGCGACCTGGTCGTTTGGCATCAAACCACGGTGCATCGTTTGGCGCAAACGGAAAGGAAAAGATGGAGTCGAGTTTCTTTCGTGCCAAAGGGGGTGTCCACCGGTGCAACGACACAGATCGGTGCCTCAAGACATCTCGACAGAGATCGGGATTTCTCGGTCCAAATCGATGGGATCCAACAGTCAGGTGATCAGGGGGGGCTTATCGCGTTATCGTCAGAGCGTCCCAGACGCTTTTTGGGGGGATGAAGGACCTCCGGGTGAAGCGTTGCGAAGCTCGTCTCTTCTTCGGGACTGGGAAGGCAAAAGCAACCAGGAATATGTTCATCTTTCGACATGCTAGTCGTTGGGAAGAACAGGCTGTTTTGATTTGTTTTGAGCAGTTGGGGTCATTGTTGTCGAACCGAGGTCGTTTCCGGATGTCCCACGTCCCTCCCCTTGAACGATACACCGTAACAAACCGTGCGAAAGGCACCAGCGCAGTTTGGAACTTGAATTTCTACGACGTCAAAAAGGGTTCCAGATCTGGTCATATCATTCATGGCAGGTCTTGGCTGTAGTCCAGCACGTGGCTGGCCGAAAGTCTAGGACAAGAGATGGGATGAAGCTGCAACATTGGAATGATCTGGAATGCATGGTGCTTTCCACCTCTTGCTCCCGGACACAAGTTGTGTGCACAGAAGTTGAGAAACTCAGATGGGAAAAGTGTCCGCCCAAATGGGCAAAGCACCTTGAAAGCAGTCTCTTCACCGAGGAATGGTGAGCCAATGGCGTAGGCCTCACCTACGCTGTTGGGTGTCAGTCACAGGTGACCGTCCCCAGGTCTGGCGACCATCTCTCTCTCTCTCTCACTGATTCTTAGTCACGAGCACTTCGGCCTGATTCCTGTCTTTCACTCACCCTCACGAGGAGGCTGTTGGTTCTTTCAAATCATGAACCAAACATCGGGACGCCTCAAACATCTCAAAAGAGGCCAGGCAGTCTGAATCTTCAGGCAAGAAGCCAAGACCTACGAGGCTATCTGGGCTGCCTGCATCAAAAGCCCGGACTTACAGAGTGAGTTCTACATCCACCAAGACCTCAAGAAGGGCCCGGCCGAAAGGGTTGCTCAAGCTTGGGAACAGCATGAACAAGACCGCAAGCGTGTGTCCCAGTCTCCCAAGCAGTTGAGAGAGCTGATGATAGCGGCTCATGAGGAGGAAACGATGGACTTCATGCCTGAGGAGACCTTCTTCCAGCCCCTTGAACTCCGTCTTCCGGATGACAGGGTCTCCACTAGTTTTGAGGCCCTTCAGAATGAGAGCATGCCCAAGAATGTCTTCGCTTCCAAGAATGTGAAGCTCCCTGACAAGGATCCAAGCTGCCAACATCCACCAACCTGCTCCTTTGTGCTGGGAGCAGCACTTGGAGTTTGCTGCTCAGCATCCAAGCAAAGATCCTTTGAAAAAACTTCTCAGAGAGGACACAAACGCATCTGCACAGTACTCACCTGTGAGACTATTCATCAGAAAACTGGGCGTTGCAGTCTGTCAAGTGGAGCTGCCTTACTTGCTCCGGTTGTCATGGATGCTTATGGTCGAACTGGGGAGACAGACCGTGCCAACTGTACTTTCAGGCGCCAAAATCTCCTGAAGGTGGCTTGACCCACAGCCACAGCCAGTTTCTCATCCAAGCACCTAGTGCCATGATCAAGGGACTCGTAAAACCTTAGAGAGGGATGAGAGGGGTGCGGGTGTCCAGAATGTGCCAATGAACTCACTAGGAACGAACATGAGTTGCTTAACTTGTCAAGGCATGTCAAGACCTTTCTCATTGTGTGGGAGTCAACAACATGGCAAAATACCCTTGATCTATCCGCAGTCCAAAAGCAGCTCTTCCTCCTCCGAGCCACGTTGATGCTCTGCCACCCTGAGGCAACAATGTTTCTGACCCTTTCTCGTTGAAGCCATTCTGATTCTGTGCCATGCCAGAGTAGGGTGGCGAATGCTCAGGAAACGTTCTGGATTCACCTCCAGTTCGGAGTAACGTAGGGTACACATGGTGGGTTCAGAGGGCATACCCCATGCTAGACTTGAAGCGGTTGGGCTGGATGATTCTTGGACTGTTGACTTTGACCAAACATTCCTTTTGTTGAGGCTTCAAAAGAAACAAACATACTTCCCACCAGTTCACCACTTGTCATAGGTGTAGTAGTTGTCATGACTTCAGGGAACTCCCGTCTTCAGCCCCGCAGCGACCCTTCGGTGGTCCGACCATTCGGCTTGCGGTCTCCTACCGTTCGGACTGCCGACCCGCAGGGAGAACGGCCACGTCCGATCTCCGATCTTCTCACTCGCCTCGCCCAAGTTCTGAGTGCTTCTTCATCTTGCACCTGGAAGGTTTCTTCGAAGTAGAGAGTTCGTGGTCAAAGTTTGATGTGATCTTTTCTTCTCAAGGCGTTCCGCTCGTTTATCCATCTTTGGAGAGTAATGTCGCATCCAAATTAGTATAATGGGACGGAATAGTAAAAAAGTTTTTGCCAAATTATTCTAATTATTCACACACCCTGATTAGTTTAATGGGACGGAATAGTAATATTTTTTTCAACCATATGTTTTGTTTACTTTCTATTGTTCTGCTATTGCTCCCCCTTTAACATGGTCACTAACTCTCCTAAGGTTTGCTTGATTCATGGAATTCTGACCTGGAAATCGGCTTCAAAAACGCTTATTAAAACTCAACAATGTCATTGCTTCAAACAATTTGTTCAAGGGGTAGTACACCAGCCCAGGGGACGGTGGGAAAAACTAACTTTTTATTGTTATTCTATTGCTGCCCTTTCAAATCCTTACTTAACTCTTCCACCACCACAACAACAACAACTACTACTACTACCACTACCACTACAACTACGACTACGACTACGACTACTACTACTACTACTACTACTACGACTACTAGTACGACTACGACTACGACGACGACTACGACCACCACCACCACCACCACTACCACTACCACGACTGCTACCATGACTGCTACTCCTACTCCTACTACTACTGCTGCTGCTGCTGCTAATGGTTTTTGTGGCGTGGATTCTATTCATACTCCGTTGATTGTTCGCTAGGAAGGGGGGACGCGTTTTGTTATATAATTAAGATCCACCATTATAGGGTGTCCATGGGTATCCCAGTCCTCATTCCTGATCTGTGGGTATGGTGACAGTTCTTAGGCAGGTCATGTGACAGGACATTCCTAGCCCACTCAAGCCAAGCCAGCCAAGCCCTAGCAAAACCACCTGCCGGCATCTCTGCCCAAACGCACTCTGGGCCCCGAGTCAAAACCTGTGGAATAAAAGATTCCCTCCTCCAACCCATTCCAATCAATCCAATTCATTTCAATTCATTTCAATCAGGCCTGTCCATCTCCACCTGATCTCGAAAGGCTCTCCCGTGCGCTCTGCTTCGCCCTGTTTGGCACCTCCATGCCCCGCATTCGCACCACTTGCTTCGCAAATTGGGCCGTCTTGTTGGCATCATGGTCATTCACGACCTGTGCCAGTCGACGGATCTGGGACAACGCTAATCGTTTTGCAGGCGGTGTGGCTGAGCATGTTTGAGAGTTCTAGCTCAAAAAGGTATGGAAGGCTTGTTGCCATGTGTTTGATGTTCACCCAACATCACCCTTGCTGAGGCTCTGACTCTTTGCCAGTCTTCTTGGAACAAGGGCGCAGTGTCTGGCGCATCACAGGCGTGTCCTCTCTCGGCACCGGCGCATCACAGTTCGTCTCTAGTGGCTAGATGTGACTAGCGGCCACTCCCAGTGTATTTACGTACATAAATGATTCCTGATCTCTGTATATTGATAGAACCAATGCAGAAACAAAACCTCCGACAAAAAGAGGCTTTACAAATCCACATTCCACATGAGGGGGTTTTATGCATCAAAGTTCTACACTGTGGACATCAAGAGGATGAACTATGGACTGACTTGTGGTCCCCTGTGGTCTTTCCTTCCTTGCCCCACTCAGCGGTTCGCTTCACCATCTCACTGCCCCTCCACCGCTCTCCGTCCTGTGAGACCTCCGCAAAGCCACGTCTGCTTCTTCAACTGGCTGAGCAGCACCTCAAACTCCTCACGTGCCTCAGGTGTTTGGACTCAATGCCAAAATGCCTTGGAACTACCCATTTTAGCGCCCTGAAGGAATCGGTGGGCTATGGAACAATCAACATCACCCCCCTGTTGTTCATGGTTTCGTGGGAGAAAACACGTCTTGCAAAGGTCTTCAGGGACCCCCATTGTGTCCATACACATATTGTCTAGGTTCTACATCACCTAATATATATATATATATTATAATATATAATATCTATATTATATACATCCCTCAGAACAAGAAACTTGCTTCAACCACCGCTCTTCTAATCCAATTGTTTTTCCGTTGATTGGTTGCTGGAAACAACCTTTGGTGCAGTGCGCCCACCCCGCAGGGGTAGACCGATCATTTTGGAATGCACGATTACAGTAATTTCGGAACACACACACACACACACACAGTCGAGCCCGCTTACGGTCATTTTGGAAAGCAAACACTCACCTACAAGGTCTATTTTTGGACCAGAACAGCCTCTCCTCCACCGCGGTACAGAAATTGGGAAAGGCATGTTGCTTTCTAAAAGTCAGATTTTGTGACAGGCAGGGAATCGGAGAGGTTGGAGATTTCGTGATGTGCGGGGAGGGCGCAGCGCTTCCCCCCTCAAGAACGCACAAACCGTTCTAAGAAGCCGGCGGAAATCAGGCAACAAAGGCAACTGCAGACAGAAGTGACTAGAAACCATCGAAAACCAACAGAATCCACAAACCATCCGACGCCAACCTACAAGATTACCGCGATGTTGGTTTGTGGAGCCCCGGTTGAAAGAAAGAGGACATTTAAAATGACTGGGGCTGGTGCGTGACTCTTGCAACTCAGATTTTGCGGCTGGCAGAGAGTTGGAGAGGTTGCGGACTTCATAGCGCGGGAGGGGGCTTGGGGGGACGGTGTGCCGCCTCCCCGTAAAGAACGCACTCCTGTTTGCTTGTTGAAATGGTTCCTTCCTGCTTTACATTTTACCCTCGAACGGCCTACAATCGGTGTGGTACATTGGAAAAACGTCCTTGAGTTGCCCTCAAAAGGTATGCTCCAAGGTGGAAGCTGGGTGGCTCAGAAAAGGCATGTTCCAAGTCTTAAGTGCTCCCTCCTGTTCTAAAGCTTACCCTCGTGTGGCCCACATGCTCTAAATTTTGCCCTCAGGTGGCCCACACAATGTGTGTTTGAAGATGGACCTGCTCTGCACCATTTTTCCCCTTGGGTGACCCACCAAAATATGTCAAGCTGGAATGGTTAAGTTGTATCACGGGTGGCCCACAAAAGGTAGGCTTCAAGTAGGAAATACTCCTTCTTGCTCTAAATGTTGCTCTCCGATAACCCACAAAAGGTGTGCTCCAAGAGGGAATATCTCCGTCTTGCTCTACATGTTACCATCGGGTGGCCCACAAAAGGTGCTTTACCTTGCAATGAACAACTCTTTCCTTTTCTAAAACTTTACCCTTGGGTGGCCCACCATCGTATGCTTCAAGTTAAAAGCTCCCTCTGCGGGTCGTCGCCACCGCGCTTTGCGCACATGATGGACCACCGGAGGCCATAGGGATTGTGTAAAAACCAACGCCATAGGCTCCACGCCATGGGCTTATATGAATACTGAGACGCAGCTGAGCCGAGTCTCTCAAAACAAGGGTACACCCCTAGCCTTCTTTCATTTGCCCTCCCTGCTATCAGGGTTCTTGTGGCTCGTCTCCCTCTTTGTGATCACTGGGCATGTGCTGCGTCAATCGAAACGAACTTGAAAAACTTGAACCCAGCTGATCAGGTACCAAGATGAGGTGCCCTTTCATCATCAAACCATCTCTTTCACGGACTTCCCCCGAATGGTCACTTGACACGTACCAAGAATGCACAAAAAAACTCTGACTCTGAAGACCTACACCAGTTCGTCCCTACAAACTCGGCTCTGCAACTGAGAGGCCGTCGGAGCGAAGGCGTTCAGACCAGTATCACCTCGAGTGAAAAAAGGGCCGCCCGATTGAGTTCGAACTGCTCAGAGGGACAGGCATGTTTGGTCAAAGGGTCGCCAAAGAAAGCTTCTGAGAAACACATTTGGAAAGCTTTGAGAAGATGCTGATGGGGTTGTCAGCAAGCCAACCATGCCGCCCCCGCCACCACCGCCACCACCCCACCGCCACCGCCTCCGCCACCAGGTTCCTATTGATTTGCTGTTTCCTGTGGATGCTTCCTGTGCTCTCCTACCGTTAGTCAGTTAGTCAACCTGTCGCCCTGGGACTCTTAGCTGATCCCTAAAATGCCAATGTTGTTGTATCAAGAAAAACAGAACACATTTTCACGGTGTAGTCCATGGGCATCATGGAATTGATCTAAATGACTTGTTAAAGGGTTTGGAGTCATACGAGTCATACAACAAAATGTTCAGCTGCCATACCACAGTTATCAAGTCCAAGAACAATAGATAGAACAAATCATGTTCTTTTCACTCCCGATAGACATTCTTGCCTTTGACGCTCCAACGAGAGTCAAGCTGCCACTTGTTTTTCTCCAGTGGAACCAAGCTTGCCTAATTGCACCTTTCAGTAACGAATCTTAGCCGTGAGCGTTGTGGCCACACTTTTAAACTCCACAAGGAATTTCCTTGCCTAGTTGTGGACTTGCCAGCAAGACTGCGTGAATTGGCCGCAGTGTTGATTTCACCACATGATGTAAGCATTGGTCTGGTTGGCAAAAGTACAAGAGGAGGTCGGGACCGCGACCGCTCAAAGGACCGCGGGGCTGGACTTGGGGAACGCCTGGTTGGTCCATTGAGAAGTCAAGTCTGCTTGGTCCATCGGCCAGAGTTGACTCGGACTTCTACGTAGATGTCGATGGCAAACTCCCTTACTAGTAAGAGAGAGAGAGAGAAGGTTGCTGAGGAGAATGCTTCAGACCAGATATTCTGCAGCGAGATCGTGATCTCCAAAGCGGATGCAACCTAAGGCGACTGGCACCCGTTGTTTTGTGGCTGTCGGGTTCGAGCTGCGGTTGCACACTGCTTCTCTGGCTTCTCTCCATGCCCCAGGGCATCCAGATCCATCTGGCACCGCATCTGCAGGCGACCATCCACATCCACTGAGCACGTACATGCACATACGGCTTTTTTTGTGTGTGGCTTCCTTGACAAGTATATTATCTAAAAGGAACTCCCTTTTTGCATGTGACCTTTTTTCACAAGAAAAAGCAATTCAGCAAAGGACATTCATTTTCAAGTCCTTCTGTTTCATGTAAAATTAGAGCAATTCCTGAGTTCAATGGAATTGCTTTCGGGGGACTCTTCCTATAGATCACACAATATCCAACACTGATGATGATCATGATGCTGATGATGATTATCATGATGACGAGCATCTGATCGAACCGCTCCACAACACGTCCACGTCAATTCAGTGGTTGCACCACCTCGAAAACACAGAAGTGGAAAGCACCAGGTGAGACTCCTGATAAGAAGTCCTTTTTCACGATGATGAGATGCGACTCCTTATCACGATTGTTTCCCGAGAATCAACACGTCGCTCCCCCGATGGACGTTGCTTTTTGCTCCAGGGGGCTCAGAACGTAGCCACGAAGCTTTTGAGTCACAAGACTCTTCAGAAAGGCCTGCGACGGACGCGTCCGACGAGTCTCGTGACGCGTGTGGCCCCCGTGCGCCACTTTGATCTTCGTCGTCTGTGGCCCTCCCATCGACTGGCACATCAAAGGCATCTTTTGTACTCCCAAAGACGTCGAGACTTGGTTCTCTTCTAGGCTGCCCAGTGAAAAACACATCTTCAATCGTGCCCCACTGGACTTCGAAAAATTCTCAAGTTGGAGCGGGAGGAATGTCTCTAGTTCTAATTCTTTGAAGTTCCGGCTCGACTAGCGCTTCTCAAAGAAACCTCATCAAGATCTTCACAGCCAGGATCAGCCAGATGGTTTTGCGGAGGACTTTTACCTATCCATCCTGCACCCAAGTCCAGCGTGCAAAAACTGTATCAAAAAGAGTTCGAGTGCGTCCCACAGTGTTTTACTTTTTCCGAGACTTATTATGCGCATGGTATTTTGATACACCAAAACCATCATGATCCATCATGCTTTAGGTTTGGGCCAGCGGCCAACAAGTATCACTCCCATGTATATGTGTTTCAGAACACCCAAAACAACATCGAGGAGTTCAACGGCCCACTTCTGGTACCAAACCAAACACACAGACATACAGTAACAAACCAAACAACAATTCGTCCAAGATCCGAGAGTCTGACGAAATCTGGATGTCCTCCCAAGCGAACACCATGTGTGTCTCCCTTCTATTGGGTCCATTCGGTGCTCTTCAATGCATGTCTTCCCACGCCAACGCTGGCGGTCTAAAATCGAAATCCTACGATAGATTCCTGTCCCACCACCCCCGAAACCGGTGACTTCTACACCCAAACCATGTTGCCTCGGTGACGTTTTTTCCACAAAACACATCTCTACTGCGGCGCCTCTTTCGTGGTGAGCGGCCCATGGAAGACGCTGGACCAACCCTGGCTGACACGATCTGACACGATCCGATTCGAGGTTTGACAGCATATTCTTCTTGGATCCACATACGTGTGTAGGATTCTGGACCCAAAGTTCGTGGGGCAACACCATAAACTCGGCTCAGCTTAGTGCCACCCATTCCGACGAACCATTTCGCAATCCAACCTGGGCCCTTCGAAAGGAGAAGGACATCGAAGTCCAAAGGTGAAGGAGTGGAGCTTGGGATCGAACTTGGAATAAAGAACGGTCAAGTGTTCGATTCCAGGTGATTCAGGTTTTACTTTTTACATCAGGTTTTTACATCCATTGGATTTCCCTTTCAGCCATGGAGGAGGAAAAGATTAGAAACTGATCCAAGTAACACCCAAGCCGGTCGAACTTGGAAACCTTTTTCAGGATCCACAAGCCGCAGTGGTGAAGAGGCTTGTCATAGCAAGAAGAGGGGACTTGGTGACTTGGCACCTTTTCAATGGCCGCACCCTCCTAGGGTTGTGTGGCACCTTGCGGGCTCTGGTCAGCATTGACTTTTCCTCCTGCCTCAATCTAAATCCAATGTAAGATCATATAAAACCATTGCACCAGGAGAGTTACCAGCTTTCTGATCTGCGGGCACATGTGCATGTATATATGCAGCATATATAATATATTGTAAGACTATAGTCTACACAAGTTACATGATATTCAATGCAATGCAGTGTAGGTGTAGACTACTTTGATCTACATCCACCAACCTCAACCCATTACAAAGGATCTATGTGATTGAGCAAACAGGCTTACAAGCACCTATTCTTGGGAATCAGAAGAGGAGAAGGTCCTTTATGAAATCTTTTTGACACCGGTTTGCGTTCACAGCTCCCTGGCCTGGGCATCAAGGGAGGTGCCCTTTTTCACCTCCAGGACCTCCAGGTGCTTCTCCCATGGTCTGGAATACACGGTCACTTCTGCGCCATTCTGGAAGCCAAACTTGTACCTGGAAATCCGGATGTCCAATGAAACATCATGAAGCGCATCATGACACATGCTTTTCGGCAAAAGAACGATCGATATTAGCGGGGAACCCCTGGGGTCAAGCGGGCCTGGATTTGGACGTGTTGCGAGTGTGAGATCAACAGGCTTGAACTTTCACCCACTTGGTAGCGGATATGACTCACAACAAAATGGAACAACAATCATTATTCAAGAGGTTGGCATGACAACTCCAGTATAGGCCATATGGGTGTGTAAGTAGGGCGACTCCATGGCCCAATGGTTTTGATCTATTTTCCTTCTTCCAGGGGTCGTTGCCTGGGGGGTTACTCCCCATTTGAGCTACGCACCCGTATTATGGTCCTGCGCAGCGATCTCACAGAGGTTCCCATCCCGAATCTTCCTGATCTTTCACGACCCCAAAGAGGCACCGGAAGAACACCCGGAACGGCATGACCCCCTTAGCCAAACTGAAAACAGGTCGTTTGAACAGCCTCTCCGTGTGTCGAGTCACACGGCCTCTCCGCTCCAACATGCGCCCGCCTGTCTCAGAGGACCGGGATCCCTTTGGGGACCGTCCAGAACGATGAAAACCCCCCGAGTTCGGGTCGTGGAAGCGGTGCAAACGGAATGGGCACGTCCACCCACACTGTGTGATGCAAGAGGTTCTGTGACATGCCCGTTGATCAGACAATCGGTCTATTGGCTCAGATTAGAGGCATTCTGTGGGGATCCACACAAAGTGACACCAGGTGACGTGCGAAAACAGCAAGTGTGATCATTGCACTTTTCCTCCCTTTGCTCCAAAGAACAGCCGTAGGACCAAAACCAAGCCCTATCAAGCCCTCTCAAGCCCTCCTGACATAACAAGATAGAAATTACCATAAATGAACCAAACCATCCCTTTCAGAGTTCGATTGCGCCTTGCCAGCCAAGGTGCTTCAGCCCGGCCACTACTTGGGTTGAAACTTCCGTTGGCTGCCTTGGATGCTCATGGCATGGAGTCCGCTCCCTTGATCCTCCGACCATGATACAACCGCATCACCCCCGCGGAAGCGTCTGAGACTGTGCCATGCTCACTTCAGTACAACCCCAGGTCTTGCGGTCTCATTCCAAAAAAAGGACCCCCCCAATACACAACGCCAGCGGTCTTCAGCCGTTTAGGACGGAAAACACTGGACTGTGCCACCAGGTCCATCCACTACCGCCCATCTTTGTCCGTTCGACGATGAATGATCCAACGTCGTAGTGTGGTATATGACATAAGTGATCTATGTCTATGTCTGTCACAACGGAGAAGCGCAGGACATTGAATTGAAACTCTAAGTGATCTTCAAGCAGTTTTTGTGGATCCCGTTCCAGATCCCCAGAAAAGCTGGTCCATGCGTGCTGTGCCCTCTCCTACAAAATTTAGCCTTATAAATAATGCCTCATATGATTACCTTGCAAGCACAAAGTCACTTCTAATGATATAACAAGGACACTAGCATGGACGTCTTTGTCGGCCTTATAGAATTCGGTCTTGAACTCAACTACTGTCCAAGGTACCCAAAGCTCGACAAGTCCTTATTGACGTCAGTGATGACCTTCTTCCAAACCTCCAAATCGCTGGCATCTGGAGCTCGGCTTGATGTCCACCCGCCTGGCATTGGTCCTCAGCGACCAAAACTCCGACGCAACTGGACAGGGTTGGAGTTAGTCCAGCCCATGCAGAGCCCTTGGTCTCATGGGGATTGCCGTTCTCTATCTGGAGCAGTGATCCGAGCATGCGAGGGATCGACTCTGATTTCGCGCAACATGAGCTCGAACGGGCATGAATGATGCACGGTCGAAGGTCGACGGTCACCTCTCAACACCCGCGGACAGAAGTCCCAAAAAGTGCATCTGCAATGCTTTTCATCCGCAAAATCAATGGAATTCAGTACAGTGGCGGAGTAAAGCAACAGCTCTTCACCCGATTTCTCTTGCCATACTTGAAGTGGTTCAGGTAGGTTGAAAGGAGCTTTCCGTAAGTCATAGCCCTTGAAGCGCGAACGTGTGTAGCTCGGTGACAAAGAGTCAAAGGCAGAAGAGCCACCGATGAGATCCTGATTCATCGAAGTTCCATCTTCTTTTGGCCAAGAGGACAGCAAAAGAAGAGATCTGGAATCCAGAACAGGATCCCAATGATCATCTGGACCAAGAACAGGATCTTCCACCAGCCTTCCAGCCCCATAAGTGCGTCGCAGATTCCGAAGAAGGCTGAATGCATCTGCCAGGTTCAAATGCTGGAACACATGCCGCACTACAACAAGATCAAACTCACCAGGTAACTCATCTCGGCATGCATCCATTGCCACAAAGTGAAAGGCGTCCCCAGAGTGCCCAGCACGCTGAAAGCGAGCACGCAGGACACTGATTGGCTTTTCTGCGATGTCGATGCCCCAATAGCGGAAGAAGCTTTCTGTATTCTCTGCCTTGCCGTCGCTCTTTTGGCCGTTTCTTTTCACAGATGCCTTCTGGAGTGCTCCAGTGGTAATTGCTTCAAGTAACATGGATGGAAGCCATTCGCCCCACCCGCATCCAATGTCCAAAACAGAGATGCTAGGAAGATTCCTCTCTACCCTCCTCTCCTCTCTCTTCTGCATCAACTTCAAGAACTTCTCTGCAATAGTCGATGTAGCTCCTTCAGAAGATCCACCACCTGAAGATGACCTGCCCCAATGTCCAGCAGAATGAATTTCTTGGAATGCTAAAGTTCGATAGTTGGGTACAAGTTGCAATGCAGTGTGCAAGAAACTGAGCTTTCCTGCGACATCTTCTAGCCGAAGCTGAAGACCATTTCCACGAGTTTTGACTCGAAATGCCCATGTGGAGGCTTCATCAAAGACCAAGTGGATGACAAACTTCAGATCAAGCAACTCTTTAATCAAAGAACCAGACTCCAGCGCTGGTTCCGTGCGCCTGGTGCCGCTCTGAGCCACGGTTTGCAACCGTTGGGTGGCCAATAAGAACAAATGGTATTCCTCATCAAGGCTTGCTTTGTCATCTGCGGCGATCTGATCCAAAGTGGAACCTGATCCGCTGGTGCCGTTTCGGTCAAACGTGTCGGTCAAACCTGATCCGTATTGACATGCAAAAACCTGTTCCAAGATGAGGGTGAGCGCTTCAAGACGGGTCACATTAGGAGCGACTGAAAACTGCCATCGGCTGAAGTGTTGCAAAAACTCTTCTGGGACAGCCATCCATCCAATGACTAAAGCACGCAGTCGAGCAAATTCTTTGGCAAGGTGTGTGCAAGAAAGAGTCCCATCGGTCCCTTCATACACAGCTTGAGGACCCAAACACCCATCAGAAACTTCAAACAGTTGCTCCTCAACTTCTTTAAGCCAATCGAGGGATTCCAGCAGCTTTGTCAGGGAACGCATCAACTGGCTGAGACCCAATTCTGGCACCTGCCGTGCAGAAAATACGGAGACTTTTGGGTATAAAGGCCCTTTCCACTGCGCAGTCTGCACATACCACACTGCACTTTCGTACACTGAATTGCTTGGACGACTTTGGCGGGCTTCTCTTAAAACATGCTCTAGGCACTCAGCAAATCCGGGTGAAGCTGCCAACAAGCCCTGCAAAACAGACGCCTGCTTGAGGAGAATCTGAAAATTCACAGGGACATGTGAAGCCACGCGTTGAGCTTCACCATTCCATTCGACCACAGCAAGGCTCATTTGTTTCCAGTCTTCTTCTAGTCCTTTTAAGTAATCTCGAAGCAAGTGTAGTAGGCCCAGATTGTCCTCTGCCGCCATGTGAAACGCAGAATCGCTCTGCCAGGTGCTTTGCATTTCTGACTGCAGCTCTGAAAGGCCAGCGGAGGCCCAAACCTGTGGTGACCAGCGAAAAATTCGCTTACGGAGACGAGCAAAGGACTGAAAGAGTTCCGCTTCCACCCTCTCTCGAAGCACCGTCTCAGCCAAAACGAGCATGGAATCCCACTGCAAATGCCAGACCAAGGGACCAGAACGGAGTGGTGCTGTCACATCGACCGCAACTGCGACAGCCAGAAGAGCGGCTGAAATGCGATGGATCATGTTGAGCGTGACATGATTGGGAAGTTACCAAAGGACGGTGCAATGCGGTATATTTAGACCGGGCTTCTGACGTCTGGTCTTCTCAGACTTGTGATGAGTTGCAACTAAACATAGAACTATTGTATATTATTGTTAAAGTTTACTTATCACCCTAGTCATCAAACTGTCAAGCAAACTTTGTGGCCAAGAAGATTCTGACTTCCACTTGGTCTTGCCGTTATGCTTGGGTGTACCCGTTGTGTGGATAATTATTGCGTGATGTGTTCTCATCTTGAATGCAGGCATAGCCATTGAGCGCACATAAACTCAGCTCGGTGTCGTGTGAAGACTTACGCTTTGCGGAGAGCGACAGGTGGGAATTCTGTGGATGGTGGGATACCATGCGCATTGTGTTTATTGCTCCAAAGTGACTCTGGTCACTGGTCATCATAGGAAAATCAATGAACATCAAATGGGAGATGAAATGGGGAAGCACAGTGAACCCAGCGTGCCAAGCATAAATCTGGTCAATTGCGTGCCCTTTGTTTTCAAGCTTTGTTCAATTGACTGGCTGGTGGACAAGAACTCTTAAAGTCATCTGTTGTCACCTATCTGAGCAAGCGACTGATTGAATGCAAACTGATTTGTTCCGACATGTTCCGACTTCCTATCAAATCGTGGCTGACCCTCTCCAGTACAAGTCTTATCTTTCGCCCTGACTCGCCACTCTGGGTCAAATCCAAGGCGCTGGGTGGCTCAGGGTCATCAGCCACTGAAACTTGGCATTGAACAACCTTCGGGCGGGCGGAGACCTAAATGATGAAGCGGTCTCCGACGAGGGGTGGGCGAGTCGCCCTTGGTGGAAATCATCACCGCAGTGGCGGCTAATTCCAGTGATCGACCTGCCACCGGCTGTCCAAATCCCAACCGGCAGCTCTCCGAAAATGACTCGGGCAGAAGAACGAAATCACCCAAGAAACCCCCCGATTCGCTTCAAGCTGGACGTCCTATGGTTGGCTCAAACGATGTTGGCTCCGTCCTGGTTCGCTCAAACGATTTGGACTCTGCCCTGCCCTCTTCCCTCCTCCCTGGATGCCACAGGTAAGGCCTTTCACGATCCCTTTCACGATCTAGGCATCGCGCCTGCCAAAGGCAGGTCAAGGTGATGGCCTGAGCGGTGCTGGAGCCTAAGGGAGGAAACATGTCACGCGTTTTTGACGCTGGATATTCCAGGTATTCCATCAACAAATAGGTTGATGTGTCTTTCTATGTGTCTTGAACATCCCTAGTACGCACACCAGAAAAAAACACATGGTGGTTTGTTGCTTGAACTGTCTGCCTGAACTGCGACTCGTCACTAGTACTGGACAATGGGGAACTTTGTGGGGCTTTTGCTGATTTGACCGCCAAACTTAGAAATCAGAACATCCCCCGCAAACAGGAAAAGATGAACAAAGCAAGAAACCACACACGGAGAACCCACACGGAGAATCCCGGATTTGTGAAAGTCTGTTAAGGTCAATCCCCATTCATCCCATTTGACTGGAAGCTTCTCACTGCCCATCGCTCTTTGCTGCCCATCCCGAGCTGTTCGGGATGGATGAAAACCCTTGCAAGATCTCTCAGAATGGCCTGGGAACAACTCTCCCTCTTTTTCCTGAGCTGACTGACAGTCAGGCCGGACTGTCGGCCGTCAAAGGCGGTCAGAGGCCGTTGACGGCCATTCGCCGGTCAGAGATGTTGAACCTCTCCGGGCACAGCTTCGGAACTGGACAAGTGCAGAACTTTGTCTACAAGTGATGGATCAGGTTGAATATTATATTAGCACACTCATTATTTTTTTGTATTTTGTAACAATAAAAACGATTACCCACATGGACACAGAATGACTTTGATCCTCTGGCTTGACTGCGAAACGACGGCTGAGGAATTTGAAGCACCATCATGCAAGTGTTGGTCTCCCTCTTGTTACATTTCATGAGTCATCGTATTCGGACATCATTTTGGCATCAGATCTCATCACATCTCATTAGGTTTCCAAAGAGCCGGGTCCCCACGATCCTGGCAATCCTATGCAATCCTCACATTGTTTCACGAATCAGGACTTGTTGGGGGCTTGTCTTCGTCCCACCCCCAGCAGTCTCCATCCCTCCATCCGTCGGTCTTCCGCCGAGAAGCCGCGGCTTCGTCGCCGCGGACGTCCAGGTCGTGCCGAGTGAACTACTGAACTGCCACCACCTTCTTCGAGCGGAAAGCCATCAAAGACAGGATGCCCAAGCAGATCCTGAACGGGCAAGTGAAGCGCTTTTGCTGTGGAAAGCGTTGGCGAGTTGGCGAGTTGCGGGCGAGTTACGGGGAGTTGGATTGCGTTCTTGGATCTTTCACCTCGAACAAACTCCTGGCTTTGACTTTAACTTAGGGTGGTCTCTGATAGTAATGAACCGATTTCTCTATAAGGGATGTCAACCTTTCATGGTTTGGGTGAGGTTTTGACCCGCAGCCATATGGATGGAACCCTACAATCAGGGATGTCCGGAAGAAATAGAACATCACCTCGAACCGCCTTAAACAATACCAGGGATCAAGCTGATGCCAATGCTAAATTCGATGGCTGCCAAAGGCACCTGACGTCAAACCAGACTGAGACAGGAAACTTGTTAGTGGATGAGTGATTTATTTGGATGTCAGAAGCTTAGCACTGAAAGCAATGTCAACAGGTCTCCGCCAAAGGTTTTTTGAACATGACCAGCACATCAAGCAATGACGGTGTTGCGTTGCTTTGGTGGAATCAAACCAACTTGTCCAGTGCCTCACCATAAAGGAGGTAGCCTGTCAAGACATTGCATAACCTGAGTCGCCGGTTTTTGCGTGATGTCGGCGGTTTCGCAAAGGGGGCGGCAGATTCGTTTATTTGGGTCAGCCGCACGTCCAGTTTCTCTGGAAGTGGACTTGGTGCATGGGTGAGGACTTGAAAGGCATGGACGCAGACCGCTGGTTCATGGGCTGATTCCCGGAGCACATCGATGAAGGTAAGAGGTTAGATCCACAAAAGGAACACATCGATGAAGGTCAAATCGATGAAGGTCACATCTATACACCTCTTTCCGAATAGACAGGGCCCTGCGACAAGTTCTGTCCCCATGGACAGCTGTCGAGACCCATTTCGTCCACAAAAGGAGCTGTGTTCCATTATGTTCCCAAACACAATGCCAATGACCAGAAGGCTATTTTGATGTATATATAATGTATGTTATCTAGCTATTCAGGTTCAATTGTCTCTCCATGTTCTGAATAGAGGTTGACGTCTGTCTTTCTTTCAGCAATGCAAGTGACTGACTGGTGGTTTAATTACAAATTGTATAGGTGGACTCAGGTGGACAGCAGGTTTGTGCAACACTCCACAGCAAAAAGGAAAGGCCACTTCTTCAAGGACTTTGCTGGGACAAACTCCATTCTGCGTGGGCTAAATGAACTTCTCAACCTTGATTCAATGTCCAGCGAAGCAAGCTCAATCTCCAATCATCGGGTTACAGTCTTCGCCAGGACACGTTTCTTTCAGAATCCACAGTGAAACAATGAGTTGACTGCATAGAATCGCGGCAAGAGAAGGACAAGGGCAAGTTTACACAAGTTTACAATCTTAGTTTCGCAAAAGAGACACACTCACAGAAACACGCAGAATAAACACACATACCAGTAATTAGTCACAAGTTGCAAGGCCGATGCTCCCATACTCGGTGACATAATTACCAGGGAATGCCTGGCGCAAAACAGCGTGCCAAGCCATTCTCGTCTAAGAAAGAAAGAAGGAGTGAACGACTCAGTATCAGCTCGTGCACCCCCAAATACTTGAAAGATATAAACGCGTATTTATATATATATATATGTATGTATATATATATATAACTATTTATACTATATTTGTGAGACAAGCGAAGGTTCGTGCTCCTTCGTTCTGGTTTGTGAGAATGATTCCAATGAAGGGCCAGGTTTCAAGAAGGGCGTACATAGTATACATAGTGCTGTGGCGCAGGACTCCTGACACCCATTTGTAGGCTGAAAGACCCTCATTTCTCGGAGAACATCTGCCTGCCTGCCATAGGAGCGGTTCAACACCTGTCAGAGCCAGCTTCATCCATTCCAAGCACTGGCTCTGGCTTAATAATGGCTGCTTAATCTACATCTGAAGCTTTCAGGGGACTGCTGGCAATCCCTTGCTTGCCTACCAACTTTCATTCCCCCCATTCCATTCAAAGCAATTCCAGCAAGTAATGCGTTTCCTCAGGTCACCCATGTTAAAATATATCAGAAGAACAGGGCGCCGCCTCCCAAAGACCGATCGGACAAGAGTCGTGACCTGGTCGGACGCAACTGGTAGCGACTCCCACGGCTCGGGACCCTCCTTCGGCGAAACAGAGTTGACCAACCGCTTGTGGTGTTTGACATGACCCGAAGCGCCTCTTCTTGAAGCAAATGCGGTCAGTTGCCAACTTAGAATATTCCACATGACGTGAAAGGTACAACAGGTGATGCAAACCTTTGTTTCATCACACCCGGGTCTTATTCTTTTCCTCCCTCGTCCATCATAGTCACGGTGCATAGAGATGCGCTGGTGCCACTAAGCCCAATGGAAGAGCTGCTTGCAGCATCTGGCTGAGGGCAGCGCCCGCATCGGTCAACTGGCGAAGCCCGGCACCAGGGGGTTCAAACGGGAAGTTTGGGTTTCGATCCCCCAAGCGAATGGACCCAATGAATTTATATAATGGGCCATTCCAAGGTTATTTTCATCACCCAGCCTCTTTTTCGGAGGGTGAATAAGCCTGAAAGGATCTGTTCGTAAGTTGCTGCGACGAACCATAGGAACTCTTCTCAAAGAGCATCGACAAAAACAAAAAAACAACTCAAAGAGGCAACTATTGCTCACTCATTACAAGCCCAGTGTTCTGCCTTGTAGCGGCCATTGGTAAATGGCTGGAAACAGTTTGTACATCCGATTTCAGCCGTGAAGGCCGTGGGGTTTCAGCCTTCCGGGCCCAGGCGCAGCCTTCGGCTTCAGTCGATGGTCACGGGCCTAAACTTACATTGGTCTGTGGTGCACGGCTTCCTGCCGTGCCCCCGCAATCACATCCCTCCGGCAGCAGGAGAACACCATAGTCTTCTCCCATGCGTGATCTATTGGGAAAGACCAAGAGCCAAAGACTGCATAGGTTTGTTTGTCGTTTCTTTCCACAATCCTAAAGACCGAAAAGAACAGCTTTTGAACGGAAACTGTTGATGAGCACATTCCAGTTTTGGATGTTTGCCACCCTGCAAAAAAGACCACCTCGTATCCACTCCCCCCCGGCCGTGGCCATCAAGGTCTTGCTACAGACCACGCTTGAGGAGGCCAAGCTGCCACCTGGAGCACGAGCGTCCGCCGTCTGCCCAAATGTCTGGAGCACAAAGAGGACATGATTCAAAGAGTCGCCTTTTGAGGTGCCCAGTTGTTTGCCTTTTGCAGTTTCCTTTTCTTGGGGGCCAAAGTCTGAACAATTTCGTTCATCGCGCTTTTTGGCGGTTGCGAAACATGGTGCTGGCCGATGGGGGCCGTTGAAATTGGGCGTGGTGCTTGCGAATCCCTTCAAACCAGAAACAGTGCAGCTTAGTTTTGAAGGTATTCACCAAGATTTGGTTTTGGGATGTCAGGGCTTGAGATCCTTCAGCAGGAGCCGGGTTTCTTCTCCTAACAAACTACTCATTTTTGTCTTTCAAACAAAAGCGCGTTGCTGGATTTTGCAAGCCAGTCTTGTGCACCTTGGTCAGCATCAACCATGCTTTCTGCAGGGTCCTCTTCAGGTGTGCTTCAGTCTGAGTGTGTACTCCTTGGCAGACGACCTTGTCGGGTTCTTGTGCACCCAAGATATCTCCTATACCGAGGCCTTAAGGAGTCAATGCCTCGGTGTGCGGGACTTTTGGAACATCCAGAACCCATTGTGATCCATCATTCTGTACATGTTTAGTTGCGTTCTCCCTGCCAGAAGTCAAAGGTTCAACCCTAGATGCTTCTTTCACCAGTTCTTGGACATCCGAGCCAAAAGTGCATAGTGCTGCAAGAAGAACTCCATATCCCACACATCCCATTGCCACATGCCCGGCCTAGTAGCGCGCTAGCGAGCACATCCGCGGCTTGCGTGCTCTCGCGGAGGAACAGCGAGAGCCCGAGGAAAGTACACCTGGGCCGTCGCTCTTTGGGCTTCAAGATCCATCAAAACTGAGATAGACCACCACTGGAGGAAAACTTCCCTGGCAGGCCATCAGTGTGAGCTAAAGGTTAATCTTCAAGCACCAAAAGCTTGAGATCATTCATTGTCGTTTCTGGTGGGGGTCCATTAGTTTTGATGTGTTTTGATGCTTGCTGAAAATTGCAAATATGCTTGCATGGTTTTGCACCATCATCACCATCATCATCATCATCCTCATCCCAGTGCCTTTTTCAAACGCCAGGGACCAAACAGACTGCCGGACAAAAATGAGTGTCGCATCAAATCCCACAACTACAGAGTGCTCTCTCGAGCGGTGGAGTGCTCTTTAGGGCATATATGGGCATACAAAACTCCACAGGTCTCCAAGTACATTCGAACATGACGAATGCCGCGGTTTTACAGTACAGTACATCAACTTAGGTACCATGCATGGTAGGTACCTTTCAGGCTATGCTGTTCAGGATAGCTTGGATATCCCCCTGATGTGCCAGGTTTTATGTCCAATACAGTCTATTGGACAAGTAGATTCGAAGGTTCCATCCTGCAGTTGTTTGCCCCGCAGTGGCTCCTTACACCTGGATCCAACCACTTCACTTCTACAAGTTTGTTCCAAAGGACCTGCACACTTGAATGGAAGACACCTGAAACTACCAGGCATGATGATCAGCTGAGAGCGCTAGGCATATTCAAGTCCCTGTTGTTTAACAAGTTTGCAGTCTGTTCAGGGTTCTTCTCAGAACATCCTGCTTCAACATCACCACGTGAATCAGAAACAAATCAGTCTTGTGGGGGATGCTCAATTATCTCATGGAGTTTCTTTCAACAAGACACCTACTGTGTATGATGTATTGAATTTGATAATCATATATAATCATATATATATATACATGTAGTCTTGGCCAAGCGGCCAGACCGATACGCTCCGAACACATGAGACGTGGTCTAACTGTGGTCTGAAGACGCTCTTGGGTCCGGGCTCTTGTGCTGGGGAAGGTGATTTGGATTGACTCCTCAACCATCTGTAAACTCTGGATGATCTCAAACCCTTCCCCGGTCAAGCCACACGAACAAGACACAGCTTGCATAGACGGCGTACATCTCCTGTTGGTCAATGCCCGCGTCGCCAAAACGAGATCAAGTACCGACTCCCGAGCCGTTTCGCTGGAAAGAAGAGGCCAGCCGAACTTTCCTGTTCGCACCATTCCCGCCATCCCGCGCGGCGACACTGCAGACTCTCTGACGCGGCTCACGTTAGAGGTTGCCCACTGACGGGGTAGGAAGAGCTTTTTTGATTGCCAAGAAATATGCCAAACATCTTTTTGGAGACGTCTCCTTTTTCCCTTCGCTGACCATTTTGCAGGATGGCTTCATGGCTTCCGGGTCCCTGTGCGCACAAACCCCAAATGAATGAGTAAACACCAAACTTGCTTCTGAATCTTCCCATATCTTCCCATTTGCAGTAATGACCTTAATGACTGAACTTGCTTGCAGGGTCTTTGGGAGGTCTCCCTATATTTTAACACACACCTACTGGTATCTACCAGTGTCACTCCCAGCACCCTCCAGCTGCCCACGCCCACCCTCCAGGGTCCCCACCCAGCTGGGCGTTTGCGTCTCTGAGCTGCCGCTGTGGATGCAGCATCCCGCCTCAGCGGACTGGGACCGCCTTCGGCCGTCGGGCATCCGGTTTGGGACCAGCGGTCGCTGGCGTAGGCGTAAAGCAAACTGAACGCCATGGGGATCACTATGGTTTTCACATGTCTTTATCTCATTTTCACAGAAAACACAAAACTCTTCTTTGGACGAACGCACCAGCATCGATTTCAGCCGTGGGAGTCCCACCATGCCCCACCCTTCACCCGCCACGTCCACCGAGTGACGCCGAAGAGGACCGCCAGTGCGCTGAGGACATCTCGCAGCGTCCTCACCAGGATCGCCACCAGGGTCGCACACGGGAGGGGGGCGCTTTCCAGCACTATATCGTCCAGTCCTTCGGATCATGGGTCATGTAAAGAGGGTCCATTCAAGAACCCTTAATGACCCTGACCGACCTGAGCTAAGCAGCCTCACAGATATGAGAAGCCAGCCCCACCGACAACCCGGACCCATGTGGCGGAAAGCATTCGGACCCAGGACCCACCGAACCGCAAGGCGAACGCGAGCAAAGACAAAGACTTTCAAGTCAAAGGTTCTGAGAGATGTGTAACAAAAACATAGCGTTTGGGAGATTCGCATTGATCGAGCAATTTCCATGGAACATTCTATGGAATGGGCTGATGACCAATTTGGTCCGCCAGTTCCAGCGGGGGCCTCTTGTATCTCTTGTACTGGCGCAAGGCCTGATCTTGGGAGATTCTCAATGGAGGATCAATTTCTATAGGCATCTATAGCGGACCCCTGGTGAAGGGGACCTGTATCTATAGATGATAGCGGCAAATTTCTCAGCCACAAATCAAGGCATGTGAGTTTGCGATGTTTTCAGCAACAGTTATTGGACCTCCTCACAGCGGCAGTAACCATATGTCTGAGGGAGCAAATCCGTCTTCATTCATACCATACCACTTTGGAGAATGTTGATCTAATTGTGCATCCAAATGTTCCTATCAATGCTGCGTGCTTTTGAGCAACAACTTTTCCAATACATTCTGTTGAACTCCCGACAAGCTGGTCGAGTCCGACAACATCTAGCGGCCCCCCGACAGGTTTTCGACACGCGAATCCGTCGGACGTCCTCGAGACTTGGAATCCTCAAAGAGAAGATTCCCACTTTTGTAGAGAGTGCCCGAATAGTAACAAGAAGCTAGTAGTAACAAGTGCCACGCTAGTAGTAACAGGTGCCTTACTGGTAGTAACAAGAAGCTAGTAGTAACAGTGCCCGAATAGGACTCTTTTGGTAGGAATCAATCTCAAACTAAGTGTGCCATCCGCCCCCGAACAACGAACTCGGTGATTCTCGGATCTACCCGCCGTTTCCCACCGTTTGACACCATCGGCCCAAGCGTCAGATCGTCGCCGTGCACGTGCTGCGCAGCGAGAAGGCTGAAGAGCATGCCCACCTGGCGAGGCTTGGAGCGGTCGAGGGGAGAGCCGCTGGACATGGTCGAGTATAGGGGTATCTGGTATCAGGTCAGTTTTGTGATCTTTTAGAACCTGAGATCAAACATGAAACCTGGAGGAGTTGCTTTCAATTCCTGTAAAGGGGCGGACTTTCTTGTGCGAAAAGGGGCTGAATGTCTGTAGTCTTCGTCACTGGGAGTGACACGCCGGTCTACGCATCTACAGTCGTCCACAGTCCACTCCATGGGACCCGCGAGGAACGGGTAGAGAGACTCATGGAACCGATGTTCGATGTTCCGAACGAAGATCGACCCGATCGATTTGAGGATCGATTTGCGTACTTCGCCTGGTTCGAACGCGTAGACAGCATGACCTGCGTCCACCATTCTCACCTTTTCACCGTCGACGTCTGTCTTTCTCATTCGTTTTTGGTGTTCCAGTCTGCTTGCGCCGGTGCTCCTGACCAGTGCCCCTGGTGAGCGAAGGTGCGAAACAGCTCGAAACAACTCGGCAGCCGACCATCCCGACGGGTGCCAGAAGAGACTGTGGAGCGACCGTGTACCTGGGCGGAGACCAAAATGCAAAGAAGAAGACGCAGGGGCCGTGTTAATGAGGCTTTTGGTATTATGCATCTTTACCATTCCTTTCTTCTTACACAATCTTGTTTGCCCATTCACCTTCGTTGTTATCATGCCCAGGGACGCTACGGCATCCAAAGGCGCGCCGAGAACACCCAGCGCAACACCAAAGGCATTGAGCCAGCCTGGCTGACGATGTGTGGATGATACTCCAAAGGAGGATGTTTCAGTACAATTATCATGGTAAACACAGTGGCATCGGGTTTCCCATCGCGGCCAGTCATTTACATTGCTGGGAGTAACCCAAAGTAAAGTCTGTGAAAGTGGAGGGGGGTTGCAAAATCCATTTCTTGGAGGGGCTTGGATTTGGGTTTCCTAAACCCAGGGGGTGCAGGAATGGAACAACCAAAGGCTATTGTTTTGTTAAACCTCATATGATTGCATGTGGATCGATTGACGTTGTTTGACTTGCCTGCTATGATTCTATGTTCAGCTGGTTAGGTTTTTGCTTTGGAATGGCTGAACTTGATTTCCACATCATTGGATGCCGAGAACATCCAAAGGAACCTGGCAGAATGATGTGACTTAATTTAAGATGTTTGTCCTGGTCCAAAAACTCAAAACGATAAGACACACTTTCCATAAGAGCCAACCAGTTGGAGAGTTGACCGACCAACGGGTGTTCAACTTCTCCGAGCCCCCGATCAATCCCACCCAGTTCCTCTGTCCATTACAAGCTTGGCATCGGCCCCCGACCGCAGTTGGTCTTGTTCTCCCTGCAGAGGAACAGTTGGTCACAACCCATCCGCTTGCATGGTGAATCCCAACCCAACACACCCTAAAAACCAACGTCTGCTGCCTGCCCGTCCCGTCTTTCACCCAACCCAGGCGCCCTAAGGGGGCCCTCGCCCTCCTTCTTCCCTCCGCCCGTCATCGGCCCGCTCCGAGGCACGCTTGGGATTCTCCTTGCGCTGGGCAAAGCGTTGGAGGTTCTCGGCACAGCTGGTGGTCACCGCGCGCAGGATCATTAGCAGCAGACCGTGCCAAAGCGCCATGCATGGCGAAGGGCGGTGGACCGATCCCCACCGCGGGGTCGCACGGTGGGCCGAGGTGAGACCTGGTTTTGGAGGTGAGACCTTTGGTGATGGGTATCTTCATGTATCTTCCATGTGTTTGCCACATCCACCCCAACTGGCCAGCACACTTTCTCTCATGGAACCAACCAAAAACTGAACAACATGGAGAGACCCCTTCTTTGTAACCGTGCAATATATATATATATATGTATATAATCTACATTTACGCAGTATATATATATATGTATGTATGGTGTCCACAGGTAAGAGAATAAAACTTCACCCTTGAGCTGGTGGATCCTGGCATTCTTTGTAAACCCGCGCATCTGTTCGAATTGAGTCAAACAGCTCGTCACCATTTCCAAGACGACGCCGGTCACGCTCCTTGTTTCAGAGAGCTTCGAGCCATGAGGGAGCCGTGAGGGTGACTCTGGAAGACAAGTCTCGCTATCATGCTGTATCCCATCTTCCACCCTTCACACCTGCTAGGTATCTATACCGGTATCCCATCACTCCTTCTCTTCATCTATTGCTTGGGCAGTGGCCATATTTCATTTAGGTTTGTGACCATGTGTTAGTTCCCTCTGTTCCAAACATGTCGTAAAGAAGCCTCTAACACCGACGAGAGTCGCAACCCATCGCACCCCAACGTGCAAACATTCAACCCATGCATTCTCCGAATGATATTTGGCTTCCACTTCCTCAAACACTTGGAGAGACTTCCCAAAGACGCTTGACCATAAGGAACGCAAATGAAATGGTGCAACTCTTCAGGAAACCTCAGTTTCTTGTTTAGTTAAAAACTACATTGAAAACAACGATCGCCCACTAACTGGGTAGGTCTTCAGCCCTTTAAGTGGGAATCGCTTCGTCTGAGACAGACTCTTTTGCGGAAGAAAACGTTGGTCTTGGTGGAATACGGAATACATGATGCTTAAATGGAACAAGTTCGAGCTCCTAGTTCTTTCAACAAGGACTGGAATCCGGAATAGATCTACAAACCGGTACAACATAACGACATAACGTATTTTCCATGTATTTCCTCATCGGCATTGACCATCCCGTGCAGCACGGGCACCCCAAGCACGTCGCTCCCCGCCTGGAGGAGTCGGATCGCCATGGTCACGGTCGGCCTTGAAGGAGCTTCGCTGAACTGGGTCATGTTCTTCTCATATGAGTCATATGAGCTTAATCCCGGAGGTGCGAAAGGCCATCCCAGGGTCTAGCTGGGAACGTGGATTCGACAAATTACATCAAGTCGGGTGCAAACAGGGGTGATTGGTCCGCAGGAACAGCCGGGAGCCGCGCGCGACGTGATTCAGGGAGCTGCTGTCGGAAGGTCTGGCTGCTTCCGACAAGCTCAGTTGTCTAGTCAGATTGGGGAGTCTGCTTCTCGATGTGCTGGTAGGTTCAAAATTGTTGGTGAATGGGTGAAGAAGAGGAGCTTGAGTGAGGTGTCCTTTGTTTTGTTTGTGGCAAACTTTTTTCTTTCTGCTTGCGATGTGATTTTTGGGTGACCGCCACACAGCCACAGCCACAGCTTCTCTAGGGCTGTACTGTCCTTTTTGAAGGCTAACCTGTATGTCACACAGTATGGCTCTGATTCATTTGATGTATCTTGGAAACTGTCTTGGGAAAACAGAGATCATATCCCCTTTTCTGTCCAAAGGCTGGAGTCATAAACACTGAATAGATCAAAATTGCCCAATGTTCTACCCACCATGACCATGGCTATATATGTTCCATTTTTGTAGATGCTTGACGTTTGCTGTTTGATCAACTTCCATGGTCCATGGCCATACCAAAGCTGTGTGTAGCTTGGGCCTAAAGCGAAAGAGCACGGTGACTATTGTGTGGCTGGGAGGCATCTGCAGCGATTTCGCTGCTGTGGAGACTCTCTGGATTCTTTGGATGAACTATTTGTTTACATGATCACATAGGATCACATAGGTATACACGTCCTATCTGGCATGCTAGTAACCCCCAAACAATCAATTGGATAGAACAAGATAGAACCGGTTCCCTACTGAGAAACTTTGAAATGCTATGTCTTTCGGGTTCACGGTCACTACGGCTTTCATGAGACATACAAATAACATGAACATCAATTGACACAATGCCGTTTCCACATCGAAGCACAGCTCGCCGGAGCTGGGCACCATTGAGGAACCAATGGAGGAATGCATTGGGCCAAAAGAGCGTGGACCTGCGCCGAGTTCGGCGAATCGCAAACAAAAACCAAATGGCATGTCTCAGGACCTGTGTTTGTTTTTCTCGAAAACGTACCCTTAAAGCAAGTGGGTCAACTCAAAGTGGAGGCACTTGGATGTTGTTTTTAAAGGAGCAAGCATCAACAACATCCAGAACACACCAAAACCAACCCAACATAATCCTCCGCCTCACATGGTGTATCAAAATTCAAAACGACGTCTTGTTTCTTTGCCTCAACCATAGCTGCAAAGAACTATGAGGATTGTATTTGTTCCATGCCGTTTCAAAAAACAACATTTTAGTAGGCCATGCATCTCACGCCATCTTTTGCGTGCATCTCAATGCGGTTGTTTCCCAACTTTGACATACCAGGGCCAGGTACATTGCAAGTCCTTCCAAAAGAACCTCTTGCAAACCTGGTTGCCTGAAAGGAACACCTTGCAACACATTGGCCCATTCAAACATTGACGTGCTTGGGCTTGACCTTCCAAGGCTTGACCGTGTTCGTCTCCCTTCGTCTCCCTCGGTGCACGGTCGATGTGCGGTCCAAGGTCGATGGCCTCGGACATCTGAGGGACGTGTTCATAAGGCAAAGGTCCACCCAAGATCTGGCGAGACGTGCGCAACGATTGGATGGTGGCACGGACCCTGGGCACGAAGGAGAGAGGAGGAGGAAAACAACAGCAGCCAGGAATCCAGTTGTTAGAGAGAAGTGAAAGGGGGGAAATGTGATTGCAACTTAGTGAGACATCTGTGCGGATCGAAAACGCGCCCCCCGGTTTGGGAACACTGGAACAATTTCACGTGGTAGTTTGCAGTGAGCCGGGTGTTGTCAACATGTTCCGTTGGTTAAAACAACACATATAACAATAACAGATATTTGTTTCGAAACATTGCGTGCACAAAACAGGACGTCAGCCACACTCAGCTGCTCTTGGGCCCGCAGTTTCCCCAACTTCACTCGATATTGCTTGCGGAAGCAGGCCAGCCACCTGCGCTGGCATCGCCGGGAACCATTCCGACGGAAGCAGCGCACCAACAAGCCACGGACCACTGTGTTTTCCACATGGCTCTCGCAACGCACACATTCTCAAATTTTGCCTCCTGCTTTTCCGACCCGGACTTCAGGTCATTGGTTGAGCATTTTGCTCGTGCACTTCAGTAAACTGCATGAATTTTGGTGGATTCATCGAATATGTCACTGTCACATCCAAAACACCAGGTTTTGTTAGTTTTTCCTAGTTGAAGTATACAAGTATCACACTTTCAAGCCAAACATAAGCCCCAAACAGCCAAGATAAGACTTCGAGATTGGTTCGACTTCTTTTGTGCAGTCGCATCTTCAGCAACCGTGCACAACAAACAACAGCAAAACCAAGGACACTGATAGTTCTTGAGAGCGAAGTCTTTGGCCAAAAGCGGACATAGAGTTTGGCATCATTTCTCAAAATCATAGCTCATTCCGCAATCTTTCAGCACTTGCAACGACTTTCAGCACTCTTTCCCTTGACTCCACAGGCGTCGACAGCTGTTCGTTCTGTCTCCACAAGACCCCAGAAGTGAACAGGGTGGCCCCACGAATTCATGAACCTGAAATGGTTGCACGTACATGCGTGTGCGCAACGGTGTTTGTCCTCACCAGAATCAGACTTTATGATGCTTTATGTTCTTGTCAGCAAAAGTCTGATATGGCTTTGCGCGCGAAGGCTGAAGTGCAAAGGTGTTAATGTTGGCAAGTGTGGATAAGCTTGGGCGGATGTGATCATTTGTTGGGTCTCCGCGTGCGTTGCGGATGCTAAGGCGACGACATTGATGGAATGGAGTTGCTGCGGGAAGCATGGGGGGGTTGGGGGGCTAATGTACGTTGTGCATGCTACGGCAACGACATTGATGGAATGAAGTTGCCGAGGGAAGCACGGGGGGATGACACGGAAGTGCAAGCAGTGGAGTTCACTTGGAAAAAACACTGTCTCAAACAGAGATCCCGAAGGGATGATGCGAGTGCAAGTGAACAAGTGGGAAAGCTGCGAAGAAAGCGGTCTGTTTTCATTGAGCTTGAGCCAAAGGCGTCAGTCATGTACATAGAATGTGAGACCTGATTGGGGTGAACAGACACGCAAAGACTTCCTAGACCTTGAAGCTGACAGCCTTTGGCCCTTCAGCTGAAAACATACTACGCCAAAAGCACCACAGGTGTCCGTTTACAGGGCCACTTCAATCCTCTTCAATACATATCAACAAATGAACGTGGGCCACAATTCTCATTCTGTAAAAGATCGTAAAAGGACATATGGTCAGGTTTGGCTGTAGGCTGCCAGTAAGCCACCATCGCAGGTTTGGCGCTTCTCTTACATCCATCCCGGATCAATCGCCAGTCTTCGGCTTGCCTCCACCAAGCAACAGCCCAAGCTCCAAATGTCCACCTAGCTGAACAATGACGAACGTCCGGTCGTCTCACGACGGAAACACGAGTAGTTTTTCTGCAAAAGACAGGAAGTTCTTATAGAAGTCTGAAGGCTTGCTCTGATGCACTTGGCGAAATAATTTCACTTTTCTTGTGAATTTGCCAGTCCCCTAGTAGCGACAAACCAACGATAAGGGATCCTCAAAATTCCATGCCGAACGTCGACAGGTGTCGGCACGTCTGAGGTCCGAGCTCGACTCCCAACCAAACATGTTTTTCCATCTTTTTTGATGGGTACATGTTGGATTGAGTTTGTTTTCACCAAATTCTAGGATTTGGTAACCCAAGCTAATTACAATGTGGATTTCTGTAGTTTGCAGTGGCTTGCTTCATTTCAATTGAACAAACTTGTGGCACATATCTCCAAAATTGAACTCTCCATCTGCAAACATTCCTTGCAGCAGTTGAAATAGCACTTCAAAGGCAAACTTCCCTTGAATCCCTGCAAATAGTACCAAAGAGATACTCTGTATGCTGCCAACAATTAATCATTAGTTGTATTTTTAACAATCTCCACGACTTCTCTGACTCCGGCTATACGTAGATATCCACGTAAACGGATGTTTTTAAAATGCGATCTTGACCCTCTTTTTTTCCTAGCAACCATTTCAGTGTTTTCTGGAGCTGGCATCCCCACCTTCTCGGTGATACGTTGCCCGACCAGGAAGCACTCAGGGGCCATGTACCGGGGCGAACCGCCGGTGTCCTGGTGCTGCGGGAAAAAAAGGAACGGCATCGCACCTTGTATCACCTTTTGTGACCAGATTGGGGAGCAAACTCCAGAACAGGCCATGAATACATATATATATATATTAAACGATCCAAACGACCTGGCGCATAGCCATCTCGTGGATCCCTGCTCCATGAATTTAGTCAGCATGCCACACACAAGAAGCCACACTGCAGCCGCCTTTAATAACCAGTTGCATTTGGACACACGGCCGACTCAATTACCTGGTGGATCTTTGATGCGAGCCATGACTGGCAATCGAGTCCATTTTTTAAAGGGTCCTTTGTATGTGATTTTCATCGGGTCAACATATGTAACTCTCCCAGTCCCATAGATGGTCTGGGCATCGTTTATCAGGTCGCTCCCAGGCAGAAGGAAGGAACTCAAATGAATGAATCTGAGTGAATTAATGATGCTGTGAATCGGCGATGGGCAACCTTTTCACTGTGACCTTGATGAAAAGCATCCGGTGGACCACTTGGCGATCAGAAAAGACCGGCCCACACGGATACTTGTGCTCTCCGAGCCGGGAAAGATCGAGTTTAGGATGAACATCTGCGTTAGTTCTGGTACCTATCTTAGACTTACTGTAATTCAATCAGCCTCAATAGGGAAATCCGCAGGTGCAAACATGCACACCCTTTCAATGGTGCAATTCCATTCGGGCAACGTAGCTCACATTATCAAAATTTATCGTTTCTCTTTCGGGGAAGGCCACAGAGGCAAGCACACACGATGTCAATGATTGATGCATTGTCACTCGGGCAGCGTAGCCGACATCGCAATTGATTTGCTCGTTTTTCATCGGTTTTTCAAAAACCTGAAAAACACAACATTCTATATAGAGCAAAAAAGCACCCCCCAAGCTAAAGCTCAATGAGCGATGTAGCAATTCTAGCGGCGCCTCAGCACCTTCGGTGCGAGTGGCCTCCCTTCCCACGTGCAGTTTTGAGACTTACTAGTCAGAAAACCGGTAGGCCTAACTACTCGCGACAGGCCCCTTGCTCAGGGCACAAAATCCACTCCCTGCCAGTTTGTGGGTGATTTTCTTGCATACACCATGTCTCTTGTTCATATTTGCTTGCCAAGGGTGCGGCGCAGGTCCAGTTTGAGATACAAACCACTAGATACCTGGGTCATATCCAAGGGGCCTGTGGTGCGGATTGCGAGTGTCGCTTGCATAGGAAACTCGTCCCAACTACCTGTGGCTCTGGCAGTTTCAATCTTGTTCTTCGTGCCAAAGCTGTCGTTTGTTGAGCTGGTCCATGTGACTCAGACTCATATTTTTGTTTATCTCTGTCTCTCTCTATATATATATATACATAGCTGTTAGGAGCATGTCAGAGAAATCCTGGCCCAGATCGCAATCTGCGGGTCAAATTTCTCACAATCGAGGGATCCCATCCGCTTGAATCGACCAGAAAGTCGATGGGTTTAACAAATCCATGGAAGCCAACTCGACGCATGATGTGTTGGAGGAAACATGCTGAAGCAGGAGGACAGCACCCACGAGCAAATATATGATATGTACATTTAAATGTGTAATGTACAGTATGTCTTTCCCTCTTTTGGGGATCGGTGGAGAGTCGCTTCACCGGTTCAAGCGGTGTATTTGTTCAGTATTTTCTCTTAAAGGGACTTAGGAGACGCTGCCTCTCAGCCAACTTTGGTGCATTTCCAAACCAACCCTTCATCTATTCTGAGAGGCCAAGAATAGAATGTTGCTAGTTGGCCCTGAAGGCAGCTGGCATGCAGTCCCGGGGTCAATGATGTTCAGTTTCTTCAAGTGGAAGAGACGACTGGATTCATCGGAGGACAACGATCATCAGTCGCAGCTCCTGGTGTGTGATGGTCACACTTTCCCCATGGAGCTCCTCGTGACCGAGCTCATCCGAGCTCGCGGGATGGGGTGCAACGATCGCGGAGGGGGCAGAACACCGGACTGAAACCCTATAGGTCAGAAACAACCGCACACGGAGCCCGTGTCTTGGATGGATGAGTCTTTAGACCCAAGAAGCCTTGGACACGGATGGACAGTGGATGATTCCTTCTTCGTACGTACTTTTTCGCCTGCTGCAAACTTCATCTACAGTAATCAGTTATAGGATAATATCCACAATCCAAACAAATTTGTGTAGCTCATCAGCCTCCTTCAAGACTGAGAATGTTGTGCAGCAGGCTGCCATTCACAGCATCGTCGCTACGGGCACGTTGCGGCAGTGTCTTCCCCTCGCACTCCCATGGGCGGCATCTCCTGAGTCTTCCCAAAGTCACAGACCTTGATGTTCCATTGCTTGTCAAGGACCTGCGAGGGATCGGAGCCCCGAGCTTGTTGAAAAAATTGAATAACTACATTTGAATGCTAGATTCTAGATAATACTGGCAAATTGGGAGCCGGATGATATGCAGCTCCATGGCTATGATTTCTGCTGTCAGCACCGCCCACCGTCCGCACCGGTGCACCACGCCAAGGCCTGGCCACGGTTCCCGTCCCCCTTTTGGGCCGCGGCAAGTGAGCTCCTCGAGAGCTGTCTCGCTCAGAAACAAGCGGCCCGTGGTGCCGAACCAGTCCCCATCCTGGGCAGTGCACCGCACCGCAGGGCTGCAGTACTGCCGCCAAACAAGTTCGGCTGCTCTTTTTCGGTTGGGCTCGTTCGTTTTGAAGGGTGTGCAGCTTGGTTCAGGGACTGTTGGTTGGGGGCGACACTTTGTAACGTCTTTGCCACGCTCTTCTTATTTTCGTTTCGGGGCTTCGCGCTTTCAAAAGAGAAGGTGTTGACCCGAACCGAAGCATGGAATGCAAATAATATGAATAATATGAAATAATCAAACCGTGTTTCTTTGTGGAACAACTGAACTGGAGTGTCTGGTTGGAAGCTATCAGCTATCGACATAGGAAGAAACCATCTTGGTTTTCCGGCTCGTGCAGCAAATCCACCACCTCTACCTCATTTGACTCATGGTCGTCCACCTTGGAAACATGTGCATGCAAACTATTATATATGACCGCCAGCAGCACAATTGCAGGGTTTCAGTCATGGGGCATTGCTACACACATTTCAATCACCACCAGAAATAAAACGCAAGATAAAATCTGTAGAGAAACACCAATTTTTTTGAGTGTCCCAAGTGTTCGCCATTCGAGCATGTGTGTGTGGCCTGACACCTAGCTGTAGCTCAAACTGTTTTGAACCCCCTTCCCTGACTTTATAGCATATAGCATGGTGGGGTTACATTACCATAGTAGTCAGTAGGGGTCCTTTTGCAACTCAAATGTTGTATATATATATATACTGTAAATTTTCTACACTGATTTCCGTCTCCTTCTCGTTAGAGGGGTTTTTCTGTTTGCCAGCACGGCTCTTTAGTGGTAGAGCCGCAAGCGGGGAGCTCTCGAGCGGGAAGCAGGGACGGCACAACGGGAAGCAGGGACCAGGGCGTCGTTTGGCCGGTTTGAATCCGCTGGATCTTCCGTCTGGATCTTCACAGCTGGGCAGGTACATGAGATGTGATGTGAGACCTAGCTGAAGGACCTCCATCAACATGAATGAATGTGGCTGATGTGAAGGAATGAGACCCAGGTTATCCTAGGTCTATAATTATAACTTTATTATTCACATTTGCCTCGCTGTTAAAAAACCTTGGACCCTAGCATATTCTTCATGGGTGTCTCCCCATCACGACAGAATTCCTGGGATGGTGCCAGAGTCTGGAGAATTTGGGATAGCCATGTCACATATGCCATCTCCGAACACTTGGACAGGAGCCTTCCTTGTGCACGACAAGTGTGCAGGTACATCTGCTCAACAACCCCAAAGCCAATAGCACTTGCTCAGGCTCTTGGACTTCCCCAACACACATGCAAACACCTCCAGAGCAAGACATTTAGGTCTACTGCACCCACCCCAAAAATAACATGACGCTCTTTCTCTCCCCCGCAAGATGCCCTCCGCTCCACCATGTTTGGTCCTTCAATCCCTCGCGTCGCCCACTCGCCTCCACCGGCAGACCCAACTCTTCCAGCCACGGCCGGAGCCGTGGCGCCAAGACGGGGCGACCCCCGTGGCGCCCAGCACCCGTGACCAAGAGCAAGCCTGTCGCGGCTCGTGAGGCACCGCGACAGGACGGACGTCGGAGAACGTGACGTGACCGCGAAGGATGGTGTTTCAAGAAGCTGCTGAGGCTGCCTACGGGTATGACAATGACTAGAAAGAGTAATGAATAGTCCAGACACCAAATAGTCCAGACACCATGGCGATATTGCCGTGACAGAAATTGGTGAGGAATTCCATCCAAACCTCAAGAGACAGTGATGTAAATAGTGTCTGATGGTGGTGTCTGCGGTGTCTGCTGCTCCAAGACATCTTCACAAATCCATAGAAATCCCACAGTTGTTATGTGTCAACGCTTTGCCACAAAGCCAAAGCGACTCCGACTCCGCTCCGACGGCCGTCTGCGCGGCAGGGGCGGCCGGCGGCAAGGCCAGCGCCTGAGCTGCGGGGGCCCTGGAGGGCCAAGTCCAGGAGCTGCCGCATCACGGCCAACTTCGCCAGCTCCTGGGTTACCGGGGTCTGGTCGCATGTTTTCGCCGCATTTAAAGCCTACGTTCTGCTCTGCCCCCCCAGCAGGTGCAGTGGAAGGTGATCTGAAGATCTATCCAAAAGGAACATCTACAGTACTTTTTGACAAAAGAAAAAGGCCAGCACACTGCATGGCGTTTTGCAAAGAGGAATCTTCCTAGGGCTCCAGATGTTAGGTTTATGAGGATATCTTCCACAAAGTGCTCCCTTTGAAATTCCTCCTAGCCTATGTTGCATCAAGGCCTATGCTGCATCAAGCTTTTCGTGGGATTGCTCCACACTACTCACTAGACATCTGAAGACTGACGCCGCACGAGATGCCATAAATCCTCCATCAATCAACATATACAGGCCTAGCGGCCCGTCCCTATCACCTCACTTGACGCTGAGAATGATGCAACAGTTTGGCACCCTGGTGATGACCCCAGTCACCCCTTGCGAGAGTATCTTCAACGGTGGATCAGAATGATCCACAACATGATCACAAGTGAGGCAAACTTTTCTGCGTCCGACATGCACCAACTGCACCGGCTCCAAATCTGCCCCACCCCAACTGCACCGCTCCACGGGGAAGCAGTGCAAGTCCAGGTCAGCGGAGGGGAAGCGGCCGGTGTCCAGCCACTGGGCGTTCAATCCGTTGTCCTCTCAAGCTGGGCGCTGGGTGGATGATGGATGGTATGGATTGCACGAGCATGAATAGAAGACACCCGGATTTTCAAGCTGTGGGAGATGAAGAAAATGCAGTGAACTGAATGCAGTGAACTGTTTTGCAATAGTTTGTTCTGTGCCATTCTATTCACCTTTTCCTCTTCTTCTTCCCCACTCCACACTCTCCTCACTCTCCTCACTCCTCCGCCTCGCGGTAGAGCGCCAACGCCTCGGCCAGGCGACCGCAGTTCAGCAGCGCTGACGCAGCAGCGTTCAAGGCCACCTCGGTCGCGAGCCCGGCCCACGGTCTTTGATGTGAGCACACATGTTTGCACAACAATCTGTATCTGTGGGCCAATATTATTTTGCACCGACTTTTGCAGTATGGTCATACACATACACATGTGTGCAGATCGCACATGAGATATTTTGGAGCACATAAAAGGACTGCAGTGGACTACCCTAGGCCCGGCCGACTACTGATGGGCTCCTATTGAACACCTCTTGGATGGTCTAGGTTGTCTGCGCTGCTTTTAATGAAATGCGTGCATATACATAACAGATCATAAGAGATCTTTTATATGACTTTTGAATATGTTTGTTGTGGTGTATAAGAGTATACTATATATAGATACGCATGTGTACGCACCATCACTATACTGTCTACTTGGGGACGTACATGTGCTCTATATGATTCTGCGATCTGCATCCATGTATATGTGATTGTATGTGCATTATATGCTATACGGTATACCGGTATACCGTATACCTGACCGTCAGATTGGAGTCGGGCATGACTTTTGCATCATGTTGCATCTATGAATCACATCAAACAAAATGGTAGAACCAACTCTTGTAGAAATTTTCTCAAGAAAGGAATCTCTCCCTGGTCACTCCCAACACCCACAGACCGGCAAGGGGGGGTGATCAGGGTGTTGGAATGTATTACCTTTGGAGTGCAACAAATCATGGAAAAACCAGTTGGACGCCCCGAATAGGTCGCGAGTAGGACACAATGACAGCTCGCTCGGATCGGTTCGAGGCATCATCTTCAAGATCAATGTGGAACCTGCCAGAATAGGTCGCGAAGAAGGTCACAAAGAAGGCTTTCAATTTTCTCCACTCAGACCGGTCACAAAGAAGGTGTTCGAAGCGTGAAATCGATCCATCCAAGTAGCTAAGTTGGGTTGTGGGCCATGGTCCTGCATCTTGGCCTTGGGCGCCGCAGGGAGAGGACATGGCGCCAGGGAATGCTGCTCGATTCCCCCAGACATGGTCATCCCTTCATGAGTTTTATGGACAAAAGGAACTCTTCTGTACATCTGGACACAGGATGCATGCGAATCACCAGCACTGTCCAGGGCTCTGGCTAGAATGGCAAGGGCGGATTCCTCAGAATGGCGCTCTCAAGCCATCGGCTTGTCCAGGCAAAAAAAATGCCAATAACACTAGTACGAACTTTTTCTGTCTTAAACATATCCTGTCTTGAAAATATCCAAACCCCTATAGGGTAACCCCTGGAACCAGAAAGTGGAAGATCCTATTGAATCCAATTCATGTGAAGATCTCATGGATAGTTTTTCTTTAGGATACACTTTGCGGCACGAACTTTTCCTCTTCAAAGTAGGGGCACAGATCAGGGGTCTGAGGAAACGAGACCGAGCACACCAGACCAAGCTTGTTCAGAGGACCTACAGTAATTAGACCGAACCTTCTTCGCCTGGGAGACAGGTTACCTCCGAATAAAAGCAGAACAAAGTCATTCAAACAGTCTCCAAACCCAGAGTGTTGGTCAAGCGGTCAAATCTCCACTGAAACAAGACACATCAAAACCAAAGCTCAAATTGAAAAACTCCACATGGATACCAAAGCTCGTCCAATTCACAGAATCCTCCCACATCTGTCCATTGTTGCGATCTGTTTTCAACAAATCATCTATTGTCTCTTGATTGTCTCTTGATGTCTTCTTGGTCTGTGTGGCTCGTCGTCCCCTCGTCCCCTCATGTCCCCTCCGTCCCCGCGGGACGTGGCGGCCACGCAGCTGGGTCTCCCGAGCCCATTGCCCCGAGGCCTCAGAGGCGGCCATGGCCAGGCTGCAAAGCTGCTGAGACCTCGGACGGTTTCATGGATGGAAACCGGAAGGATGGACACGGGTTCCTCTACTCTATTTTGGAAGGGATGTGTTTTTTTTTTTTAACATGGAAGTTCGGTTGATTTCATAGTTGATTCATAGTTCTTTTTGGTATTTTTTGGTTGTCCGGAGGTCTGGTAGGAAACCGAAAACACACACACACACACACCTTTCGGATACATTTATGTGGGATTACTATGGGCCACCTACACATATGGGATTATATGGGCATTGGTTGGTACAAAAACGATTTGAGACCTCCATGACATGGAGCTGTTGGGGTTGAAGTCAACGTCCTCAGCCAGCCAGGACCATGCGACGTTTCCAGACCATGCAATCCCAGACCAAAAATGGGGACCCCCCTTGGTCAGCCCTAGACTCGACTCTGGGCCACCTCAAAAGAACAGAATTGAGGATCAGGGAGAGATCTTGTGCCGCATCATTTGCTGCTTGAAACTCCTGGTGAAATGAAGGAGCACAAGCACTCCAACAGTCTCACAGGCACGAAAAAAGCACCTCATGGCCCAACGCTGAAGGGTCTTATCATGTCTTCTCTCGTGACACAGAGCAAACCATGGTCATGTGGAGCACAACCAGGAGCACGGACGCACCTCTACAGCCTCTGATCTCTGCCATTTGTCACGGAAGACGCACCGCTGACGGAACGTGCGGCGGTCTCCGGCCACGGAACGTCTCCCCCGAGACATTGGAGCGACCTGCTGGCAGCTGGCAGGAACCGGCTGCCGCAGGGGGATTAGAGATCAAAGAGGTGTATTAAATAAAAGTTGGGAAGCAAGTGTTGGGTCGTTTTTTCATGTTGTTCAGAAGATCTTGGAACCACTTTTTGAGCTCAACACACAAACTTCGCAGAACTTTTTGGCGTGACACAAAACCTACGCTTGGCTGATGATCATGATGTGCACGGAAGGCCAAACGCAAAGATCAACCTTCAACTTGAAAGCCCACCTGTGTCCAGCAGATGCAGTGCCAACGTCCAAAGCGCTCCTTCCTGCCAACATGTCGCCATCAACAGCAAATTTCCACAACAATCTAAACAACCAGTGCTTCGGGTCTTCCAAAATCCTCACTCTCTTCAACACGTTTGAACTCAGCTCCTCTTCGGGTCATCCAGACTGCACATGATCTTGGCATGTCGAAAGCTCCTGGCAAGCACCCATCATCCCCACATACGCCGCCTCGTCAGGCCTGGCCGGCGTCCCATCCGGCGTCAATGGATCGCATCCGGTCGCCGTCCCGAAGACCCCAAAAACATCTTTCAGGTGGTGGGTGGCCATCCCTATCGAAGGACTCTTTTGGGTGATCATGGGTGATCATGCCGACATGCCGAAGAACCACAGCAAATTGTGCAATCCTCTGGACAGGAGTCCCTTCTTTCACAGAAGGAAATGTCCACAAACACAGCAAATTGGCCAACCTTGCAAACGGGTCCACATGATCTTGCTTCAGTATTTCTTTTGGTCAAGGACACAAATCCGGTGCCAAGCCCACCATCACTGCCAACATCAGTTGGAGTATGTTGGAGTTGTGGGCTGAAGTGACGGTTTGAAGGCAAGTTCAAGACTTGAACTTGGACCAAGATGAATGCTCAGAAACTTGATCGGGGTTGCGGTTCCACAGAAAATGTGTTCCACAGACGTGTATAGAATTGAATCCAATTTAACCCCTGCTTGATCGTGCCATAATGCTTTGTATTGAAGATACACCATCAGGACTACCATCAGTGCATCAGGGTCTTTCAGATTGTTGATTCATCAAGGTCTTTGAATGCTTTCCTGAGCTGTGGCCATGCCGTTCCATCTTGCACTGGAAACCGCTGCCCTTCTGCTCCCAACCTCATCATCGGCCTCTGCTGAAGCCTTGGAAGGCGCAAGAAGTGGAACATGCAAGGCGATGCCATTAGGAGATTACCTCTTCTCACCAAAGGGTACAGTACTTATCATATCTTATCATATTGCGGGTCCCTTAGAGAACCTTCCCCCATGCAAACCCTTCAGATTCTTTTGGAAACTGATCAGTGAACCCAGGGAGGTGGCAGTTGTTTTGAGACACTAATCCAAGCAAGTCGTTGACATCAAGAATTCTTTTTTTTGAAGAGTTCCTAATCCACCATCATTATGTTGACATCAACATCTGTATTGTTTGATTGGTTTGATGGGCTCAAGCTGGCACATTGGCCGGTCGACATGTCAATCTGGCACGTTGGCAAATCTCTCAATCAACTGAAAGAACATGAAAGAACCATAGTATTATCCACGGTGTATCCTAAAATTATATCATCAAATGGTCCTCTGCGCTCTGCACATATCATTTACATGCGAGTCTCGATAAAAACACAATAATCCAGCAAATTAACCCAGCTAACATTAATTCAAATGTGAGTTCCATAATGTTCCATACCAGGATTCATTTCTTAGGGCACGCCCTATCTTATCATTCGCGACCATATGACAGGGCAGCCTCGGCTTGTGTCGAGGTGCAAGGAGAGCGCCACTGTTTCATGCCCAGAGGCGGCCTCAGCTCTTGCATGCAAAAGTAAGACTTGCAGCTAGAGGCTACATTGCTTAGGCTGCTTCAGCCAAGATACCGGACAAATACAGTCTGTTTCCAACTAATCATAGTCAGACCAAACCGTCACCATGTCTGGATGAGATGTGCCTAAGAGGATGAACACGGCAAAAAATGGTGTACGGGAAAGCACAATGCAACTGAGCTGCTCTAAAAACCTGCATTAACTCCCTATGTCGTTCTGGTTTTCGTCTCCTGCTTGGGGCCTAGCCTGCTCCCATTATGGGCTACTAGTCACGTTGGAGGAGTGCGCTTACGCCATCCTTACGCAACTGCTTACGCGCGGCTTACACGCAAAATCCTTCTGTGCAAACAAAAGTGTCGCATCATGTGATCCAAGCTTGGTGACGTTCATTCCAAACAGGTTGGAGCATGTGGCCAACACATTACTTGATGTGCCAAAAGGCGGGCCAACCAGCCGGACAGGGATGGGTCTCCTTCCCCATCTTCCTGTCTGAGCTAAAACCAGCAACGTCAATATAACTTTAGTTAACTAAAGGTTCCTCAACACCTGAATGAGCATAGATGGTGTTCAGAACAACCTTGATAGTCCATCCTACTAAGTCCCAAACAAGGAAAAAACACATGTAACAGCTCCAATGTGGTTGCTTGTCTTTCTCTTTCTCAATCCTGGACTCAAAAAGAAAAGAATGGAGCTTACGCAAGTGCTTCAGCAACATCATATCCCGAATATGCTTACGCAACCTTACGAAACTCATGGATTTTGCTTACGTGGGGGCTTGATATGACAAGACTTTAACTAAACACATAAAGGATGGTTTTTAGAGTTGCTCAACTGGAGGAACACTTGGTCAACCCCCGAGATATTGGATGCTATGAGGCTACGATAGAAACAAGTATTCTGCGTACAGAAAACAATAGCCAGAAGAGGTCTATATAGCTGAGCTGGAAGATCCATAGGCGCATGGATGCCCGGCCCCAACGCTTCTTCCGTGTACCTCAACAACCCATGCAAAACATCGACCATTAAGCATCTGTTATGGGGGCTGGATTTCGGCGCCTCTTTTGGATGACTCTCCGGCTAAACGGGGCTGAAGAGGAGGCATCGCCAGTTATCTCTTGAATTCACACAAAACGGCACAAATTCCGGGCTATCCACCCTCCAAGAAGAGCGACCCAAGCCAGACAAATGGCAAGTAGGAAGCCTGTGGCCGTGATATGCCCGAAATCCACATTACTGTATAAACTGTATGAAACTCACGTAATCCCGTTCTTCTTCAAGACCGGCGAGGTCTGCCTATCTCCCAACCACAGCCCTCCCGACTTCTTCTCCGTTGGTCTGGGGATCTGACCATGGTACTGACGGCCAAGCTGGTGCCCACCATGCTGGGCCTGAGAGACTGAAACGCGCCCGGCTGGGCCTTTTTGGCCAAGTGAGAGCCAACTTCTTCAACCATTGACAATAACAAACAAACAACATGTCAAGAGACAGAATGACTATCCAGGTTTGTACATCGCCTCAGCAGGAAAAGCTGAGCAAGTATCGTCTGTTTCGGGGAAGCGTGCCCCTCAGCGTGTCCTCTTGGGTGCTTGAGGCTCAAAGGCGAGCAACAAGCAAATCAACGTGGCGGTCATGACTGCAAGTCTGCCCAAATCTCATGGGCGGCACCATGCTCTGCAGCAACAACTGCACTGCTTACTACTTCTGCGCGGCAATTTTCGGGGACCTCCTTCGTTGAAATCCGTCACCATTCAGCTATTGGCTATCAACACATTGACAGAATTTTTCTTGCCCCTCTGCCATTGAAGCGCGGTTCTCCATCTACCGCTCCCAATTCTGAACGAAGTGACCGTCCTCACTGCCGCGGACCAACTTCAAAACTGCCAGGGACCGTAAACCACCCAGATTAGCCCTGCGCAGCTCTGATACTACAAGCTCTGACTCACCAAAAAAGTCTGTGATAGGTGGGTAGTACATGGTAGTACGGTACTAAATGATGCCAACAATATCATACAATATCCAACATCTATTAAATATTATATACCGGTCATCCGGGTCATCTACAGGTACTCGCCACGATGAGTCGACTGAAAAAACGTCGACGACTCAGCCGGACAGCTGGGAGCTCCGTGCTGAAGCTTTTGTTCATCCATCTTTTGGAGCAACCCCAGAGCAACCTTCGCAAGGACCCAGGACCCACAGGTGTTGATCCGTGCATCTTTCGGTGTCGGTTGCCAGAGTTGGAACAAACGCTTGAGTCCAAAACCTGTACAAAAACGGGTCATACTGCCACTGCCAACTACTTTTGCCTGTGTCTAATTATATAGTTTGTGTCGGCCCGGTTGGTACTTCTGTTGGTATAGTTGCAGTGTGTTATAGCTTGATGCATTTTGACATGGCAGGACTG